TAAGATTTTATTTATTTATTTGACAGAGACACACACAGCGAGAGAGGGAACACAAGCAGGGGGAGTGGGAGAGGGAGAAGCGACACCCTGCCAAGCAGAGAGCCCAATGTGGGGCTCAATCCCAGGACCCTGGGATCATGACCAGAGCCAAAGACAGACACCCAACCGACTGAACCACACAGGCGCCCCTTAAAATCCTTTTCAATGAATGGAGGAGCTTGCAAGAAAGTAAGGAAAATCCTTTGAGGTCTAGGGAAGTGAGGGAGCCCTGAAGTTGGATGTCTGGGTTGAGAACAACTTCAAAGGGAGGTAGAAATGAGAGTCATTTCCTTGTTCTTGGTGTTAAGCCAAAGGCTCTACTGTTCATTGTTCTGCAGGTTTTTTTATACTAATGTCTCTATCCAGTTACTGAGGCCTGCTTCCATTCCTCCTGTAGTGGGATGTAAAAAAATTGTCTTTGCTGGTACCAGAATTTACCACGGGGAGGGTGATGTAGAAAATGTTGGGGTTCGGAGCCTACAGCCAAGAAAGAATTCTTGGGACATCTTTGGTGCAAAAAGGTGGTTTTATGAAAGCAGGGGGACGGGACCTGTGATCAGGAAAAGGTGTACTGGAGTCATGAGGAGTGGCCCATTATAGACTTTCAAGTTGGGAGGGGGTTACGGATAGTGTAAGTCTCTAAGGAATTTTGGAAGCAAGGTTTCCAGGACCTTAAGGGGCTAGCTGTTGTTAGGAAAAGGCCATTTATTACTGTCTAGTAAAACCCTAGTCATGAGACCCTTCAGACAGTGGGCCATATGCTTGGAGGATGATTGCTAACATCTATCTTGGGAGGTTTAGAGATAAAGGAAGTTTCCAAAGGAATTTTTTTTTTTTAAAGATTTTATTTATTTATTTGAGAGAGAGAGAGAGAACACCTGAGAGGGGATAGGGTCAGAGGACGAAGCAGACTCCCCGCCGAGCAGGAAGCCCGATGCGGGACTTGATCCAGGGACTCCAGGATCATGACCTGAGCTGAAGGCAGACGCTCAACGCACTGAGTCACCCAGGCGCCCCTCCAAAGGAATTTTTATATGTTAAAGTAGACTCACAGGATCCTAAGATTGCCTCTGCCCTTAGCAAAGTGTCGACATCGAGGTAGCTGAGCTCCCAGAGGAAGATCACTCTGCCTGTCTCAAGGATTGGTCAGTGGACTGTAAGCAGTAAGGAAATTTAATTTTGTTCTTTTGCCTTTGTTTCCCACATCAAGGGGACTGTCCTTGCTCAGAAACACACAGCAATTAGCTACTTGGTGAGAAGCTTAGAGCCAAAGGCAGAGTGAGGGTTATGCTGCTCTGCATCAGAAATAAGCAGGAGCTGGAGATGGGAGAAACAGGAAAGAGGAAAGAGGAGAGGGCTGGGGATAGGGTCTAACAGGTGGAGCAACTATAGGGTTTGTAAGAAGGGTAACTCACATGACTGTTCTAAGCACCCCCATAATAGGGTCCCCCTTCTTCCCACCTCTTTAAACCTAGTAATAATACCTTCTATCCATATAACACACACACACACACACACAGGGTGTGTGTGGGTGGTTTTGCAAAAATGAAGGGAAGAGTTGAGTTCCATATTTGGGCTGCTGTGGTATGTGCAGAGCACATCTGGGACAGAAGAGGAGCTCGGTGCCAGGAAAAACATAAACCCCAGAGTTCACAGACACGTGGGGAGAGGACTGGGCTTCAAACATATCATATAACAATTACTTGAGCCAATCTTTAGCTAAATTCAAAGGAGCAGAGTGACCCCCTGGTGACATCTGGTTATGTGAGTAAAGATTTGCATTGTGAATAGGTGATAATATAAAAATACTGCGGGGCGCCTGGGTGGCTCAGATGGTTAAGCATCTGCCTTCGGCTCAGGTCATGATCCCAGGGTCTTGGGATCGAGTCCCGCATCAGGCTCCCTGCTAGGCGCGGAGCCTGCTTCTCCCTGTGCCTTTGCCTCTCTCTCTCTCTGTCTCTCTGACTCTCATGAATAAATAAATAAAACATTTAAAAAATATATAAATATAAAAATACTGCGGAAAAAGTTGGGAGAATTAGAGTGGTAAAGATCTTTCTTAGTAAGAAATGAAATCGAGGGCGCCTGGGTGGCTCAGTTGGTTAAGCGACTGCCTTCGGCTCAGGTCACGATCCTGGAGTCCCGGGATCGAGTCCCGCATCGGGCTCCCTGCTCAGCGGGGAGTCTGCTTCTCCTTCTGACCCTCCCCCCTCTCATGCTCTCTCTCTCTATCTCATTCTCTCTTTCAATAAATAAATAAAATCTTTAAAAAAAAAAAATGAAATCGAGAAGACATAAGAGAGAAGACCAATCAATGTGGCTGTAAAAAAAATTACAATTTTCTCACAGAAAATACCATAAAGTAAAACGATTAAATAGTAAACGTTTTTGCCAAACATATGACTAAGAATGGAGCTTCTACAAATGAATAATGAGCAAAAGCCTAAAAACCTTAACCTCAGAAGTAGAAATATTTCTACTTAGAAAAAAACTAAAAACAAAAGACTAAGGCATTTCACAGAAATATAAGTTCCAAAGTATTATATATATAGAAAAATGGGAGGGTGGCTCAGTTGATTAAATGGCGCCTTCAGCTCAGGTCGTGATCTCAGGGTCCTGGGATTGAGCCCCGCAGGCTCCCTGCCCTACCTCCCCCGCTTGTGCTCTCTCTCTCAAATAAATAAAATCTTTAAAAAAAATAGACTTAACGGGGCGCCTGGGTGGCTCAGATGGTTAAGCATCTGTCTTCGGCTCAGGTCATGATCCCGGGGTCCTGGATCAAGTCCCGCATCGGGCTCCCTACTAGGTGGGGAGCCTGCTTCTCCCTCTGCCTCTGCCTCTCTCTCTCTCTCTCTGACTCTCATGAATAAATAAATAAAACATTAAAAAAAAAATAGACTTAACTTCACTCATAATTAAAGCATTAATGTTGAAACAATAAAAAGTACCACTTCCCCCTCATGAGAACAGCAACAAGTAATTTGATAATGCATGACATTGGCAAAGGTACATGGAAGGTCTCTTATATGCTGCTGGTAGGAATATAAATTGGCACGACTTCACTGGAGAGCAATTTAAGATGTATTTTGATTTAGCAATTCTGCTTCCTACATGTGTATTTTTAGGAGTACAAATGTTTCCTACATGTGTATTTGTACATGTGAGCCTAGGAATGTTTCCTACATTTTTTTTTTTTAAGATTTTATTTATTTATTTGACAGAGAGAGACACAGCAAGAAAGGGAGCACAAGCAGGGGGAGTGGGAGAGGGAGAAGCAGGCTTCCTGCTTGAGCAGAGAGCCCGATGTGGGGCTCAATTCCAGGACCCTGGGATCACGACCCGAGCTGAAGTCAGACACTTAATGACTGAGCCACCCAGGCGCCCCCCCTACATGTGTATTTGTACATGTGAGCCAAGAAACACATAAAAACTAAGATGTTCAAGGCAGCAGTATTTATAACAGCAAAGACTGGAAGAACCCACGTGTCTACTGATAGGAAAATGGTTAAGGAACTATGGAACACAGGTGTAAATGTGAAAACAGACTATGATGGACCTCCAGGTGTTCTCATACAGAACATTATGTAAGATACACTGAAGTCAGTATGGAGTCCGATTTAGAGCTTAGGATCTAGAGTCAGACTGCTCAAGCTAAAATCCTGGCCCTACTGTGACAACTCAACAACAAAAATAAGAACAACTCAATCTAAAAATGGGCAATAGATTGGAATAAACATTTCTCCAAGGAAGATACACAACTGCCAATAAACACATGAAAAGATGCTCAATATCACTAGTCATTAGGGAAACGGAAGTCAAAACCACAATGAGATACTTCTTTTTTTTTTTTAAGATTTTATTAATTTATTTGACAGAGACACAGCGAGAGAGGGAACACAAGCAGGGGGAGTGGGAGAGGGAGAAGCAGGCTTCCCTCCGAGCAGGAAGCCCGATGCGGGGCTCGATCCCAGGACCCTGGGACCATGACCTGAGCCAGGGGCAGACACTTAACAACTGAGCCACCCAGGTGCCCTTATTTTCCCCATTTTATAGAATAAAGTCAGAAAAGTTAAACAACCCGCTTAAGTAACACAGTTGATGAGATGCAGCACTGAGATTTGAACCCATGTCTGTCTGTCTTTTTTATCATGTCCTGCTACTTCTCAAAATTTCATTCCTAAATACTGAGGGGAAATAGGCAGCGGTAAAATATGGAGAAATGAGGAAGGTTCAAGAACTCCGAAGGTGCCATTGATGTAAACGACCATCTGAAGAGTTTTGTGTGGAAGTGTTAGAGGAGGGGAGGAGAAGAGGAAAGAACACACGTTAATCCAGGGCCTTTCAAGTTCTGAGGACTTTGCTAATGGCAAAGCTCACAGATGAAAAGCTCAGGCTCAGAGTCAGACAGATCTGCATGCAAGACTTGGCTTTATCTATTTACTTGCTTTGTGAATTTGGACAATGCTCTGAGCATCACTTCCCTCACTAATAAACTAAAGAAGAGCAGGAGTAATTATCACAGAGAACCGTGAAAGTAAAAAAATATACGTACAGGTTTAGTTTAATATCTGACATGTAGTAAGTGTTCATTACATGAACTACCTCAGGTAAACCTCACACCATGACCTAGCAATTGTCATCCCCATTTTCTAGAGTAGAAAACTGAGGCTCAGTGCTCTCTTTCCATTATGCCAAAGCTCCTGAATTCCAAGCAGTTAACTTAAATCCCTGGAGAAATCCAGATGAAACGCCCACTCAACTAAATGGTACCTACCTCACCCAGGAATTACCCTTGGGAGATTTCCTGACTGTATCACCCTAGTTTATAATCAGAAATACCCCAGTTCTTACCCTGACATCTTCATGGTGCTGGCTTTTCTCACCAGATCTCCTAGCCCCTCTTAGATCTCCTAGCCCCTCTTAAATCACCTCTACTATTAAATTTCCAATCATGTGCTCACCTGCTTGGGAAGCATATTCTCAAGTTCTCTTGCTTCTGATATCCTCTTGACTAGTTTTGCAGCTTTCCTCAAGACCAGAGTCTGACCATGATGCTCTGTCAATGCAATGTTAACAAGAAGAGGATCATTAGAGCTTTTCAGCTGTGATGAGAAAGTATGTATTGCAGAAGATGTGGTATATATATGTACAATGGAATACTACTCAGCCATCAAAAAAATGAAATCTTGCCATTTGCAACGACATGAATGGAACTAGAGGGTATTGTGCTAAGCGAAATAAGTCAGAGAAAGACAATTATATGATCTCACTGATATGTGGGATTTAAGAAACAAAGGGAGGATCATAGGGGAAGAGAGGAAAAAATAAAAAAGAAGAAATCAGAGAGGGAGACAAACCATAAAAGACTCTTTTTTTTTTTTTAAAGATTTTATTTATTTGACAGAGAGAGACACAGCCAGAGAGGGAACACAAGCAGGGGGAGTGGTAGAGGGAGAAGCAGGCTTCCCGCGGAGCAGAGAGCCTGATGTGGGGCTCTATCCCAGGACCCTGGGATCATGACCCGAGCCGAAGGCAGACGCTTAATGACTAAGCCACCCAGGCGCCCCAAACCATAAGAGACTCTTAATATAGGAAACAAACTGAGGGTTGCTGGAGGAGAAAGGGGTGGGGGGGATGTGGTAATTGGGTGATGGACATTAAGGAGGGCACATGATGTAATGAGCACTGGGTATTATATAAGACTGATGTATCACTGACCTCTACCTCTGAAACTAATATTATATGTTAATTAATTGAATTTTAACTTAAAAAATTAAAAAAAAAGAAATTATCCAATTTGTGTTGTATTTTCAGATACCACATGTGTGGTTCTTCCACACCAATTCTCCAATTCTCTGATATAAACTGGGTCTCCAACAATTCAACCGAGTTCCAAATCTACCCAGAGTTAGTCTCAGATCCGACAAGTTAAAGAACTCAGTCTGACAAAATTGTCTCCACTTCAGGTACCAGTCTCAAATGGGATGCCCAGTTACCCACATTTCTATCCAGTCTATTACAAATTTCAGGGTTCATATGACCCACTCTCAAGTTTGATAATTCACTAGGATGACTCACAGAACTCAGGAAAGTACTATATTTACTATTACAGATTTATTATAAAAAATGCAGCTCAGAGGGATGCCTGGGTAGCTCAGTTGGTTAAGCATCTGCCTTTGGCTCAGGTCATGATCCTGGTGGGGTCCTGGGATTGAGCCCCCACGTCAGGCTCCCTGCGGAGCCTGCTTCTCCCTCACCCTCTGCCACTCCCCCTGCTTGTGCTCTTTCTCTCTCTCAAATAAATAAATAAATAAAATCTTTTTTTTAAAAAGGCAGCTCAGAAAGATGGAAGAGATACATAGGACAAGGTATGGGTGTGGAAGCTCTATACTCTCTTCAGCATACCACATTCCCAGCACACTGATGTGCCCAGCAACCTGGAAATTCACCAAACATTGTTCAAGAGTTTTTATAACTCAATCTCCAGTCCTTCTCTTTTCCCTGGAGGTTGGAGAGGGTGGGGCTGAAAGTTCCCATCCTCTACTCATGTTTGGTCTTTCTGGTAATGAGAGGCCATCCTGAAGCCCACTGGAGCCCCAAACTGAGTCATTTTATTAGCATATACTCAGGTGTGGTTGAAAAGATGTTCATTACGAATAACAAAAGACACTCCCATCACTTGGGAAACTCTAAGGGTTTTAGGAACTCTGCATCAGGATCTGGGGATAAAGACCAAATCTGTATTTTTATTATACCACACATTCTGAACAATGTAGAGACAAAAGACTGGAAAAAATGAACAGGGCCTCAGGGACCTATGGGACAATATCAACAGGTGTAACATCTGTGTCATCAAAGTCCCATAAAGGAAGGACGAAGAGTATGGTGCAAAAAAAATTATTCCAAGAAATAATGTCTGAAAACTTCCAAATTTGGCAAAAGACAGAAACTTACAGGTTCAAGAAGCTCTACAAACCCCAAACAAGTTAAATAGAAAGAAACCCACGTCCATACACATTGTAATCAACCAGCTGAAAGACCAAGACAAAGTATCTTGAGGGCAGCCAGAGAAAAATGCATTACACAAAAGAAGGACTATGTAAATGCCTGGATCTTCACATCAGACCCTTAAGGCCAGATGGCTGTGGAACATTTTAAAGGGCTGAAAGAAAAGAACTGCCGACCCAGAATATCCAGAAAAAACACCCTTCAAGAATGAAGGTGAAGGGAAACCTGGGTGGCTCAGTCGGTTAAGCGTCTGCCTTCAGCTCAGGTCATGATCCCAGGGTCCTGGGATGGAGATACGCATGGGGCAGGGAGCTTGCTTCTCCCTCTGCTTGTGCTCACTCTCTCTCTGACAAATAAATAAATTTAAAAAAATAATAAAACCTTAAAAAAAAAAAAGAATGATGGTGAAATAAAGACATTCTCAGGGCGCCTGGGTGGCTCAGTTGGTTAAGCGACTGCCTTCGGCTCAGGTCATGATCCTGGAGTCCCGGGATCGAGTCCCGCATCGGGCTCCCTGCTCGGCAGGGAGTCTGCTTCTCCCTCTGACCCTCCTCCCTCTCATGCTCTCTGTCTCTCATTCTCTCTCTCTCAAATAAAAATAAATCTTAAAAAAAAAAAAAAAGACATTCTCAGATGAAAGAAAACAAAGGGGATTCACTGCCAACAGGCCTATTGTAAGCGCTTTTGTTTTTTGGGTTTTTTTTTCACATAGAAGGAAAATGGTCCCAAAGGAAAACTTGGAACTTCAAGAATAATGAAAAAAATGCATGCCTGGCTGACTCAGTTGGTAGAGCATGTGACTCCTGATCTCAGGGTTATGAGTTTGAGCCCCACATTGGGGGTCGAGATTACTTAAAAATAAAAATCTTAAGAAAAAAAAAAGAATGGGAAAAAAATAGAAATTATAAATATTTAGTTACATAAATATATAATATACATAGTAAATATATAATATATATAGTATGTGTGTATATATATATATATATATGTGGTTATATACGGTACATATAATAGACTATTTTTCTCCTCTTACATGGTTAAAACCGTGTATGATGATCACTTTGGAGGATAGTTTGACAGTTCCTCAAAATGTCATCATATGACCTGGCAATTGCACCCCTTGGTTCACATATACCCAAGAGAAATGAAAACATATGGCACACAAAATCTTGCACATGGATGCCCACAGCAGCATTCTTCATAATAGCTACAAAGTGGAAACAATCTGAACTGAATAAAAATTAAAAGACCATATCCAAAACATTTGTGAAACGCCTCAGTGTGCAGAGAGAAAGCTATAGCATTAACTGCTCATGTTAGAAAAAAGGTCTCGTTTTCATTCAGTTCAAAATATTTTCTAAGTCTCTTTGATACTTCCTCTTTGACTCATGGGTCTTCATGAATTGATTATATAATTGGCCTTTGTCGTTTTTTTGTTTTTTTAAGTAGGCTCCACATCCAGCATGGAGGCCAATGTGGGGCTTGAACTCACAGCCCTGAGATCAAGAGCTGAGCTCAGATTGAGAGTTGGATGCTTAACTGACTGAGCCACCCAGGTGCCCCTCCTTATAACTTCCTTAATAGCATTTTCTTTTTTTCTAGCTTACATTATTATAAGAACACAGCATACAATACATGTAACATACAAAATATGTGTTAATCAACTGTGTATGTGGTTGGTGAGGCTTCTAGTCAACAGTAAGCTATTAGTGGTTAAGTTTTGCAGGGAGTCAAAAGTTATACATGGATTTTTGACTGAGTGGTAGGATCAGCATCCCTAACCCCTGTGTTGTTCAAGAGTCAACTGCATGTTTATGTTTTGCAAGGTCTCCTACAAATATACCTCTATTTGGAATCTGGCTATATCTCTCTGGTGGTTCCCAAGTTGTTGTTGTTTTAATAACAGTTTGATTGAAATATAATTCACATACTCTGAGCCTTCATTTCTCCATCAAGAAAATGGATTGTTTAATTTTTTGGAATAATGATGACATGTATGCAATTGTCTAGAATGATTTAAGAGTTCCTGTTCTTTGTTTTCTTAAGTTCTGTATTTGCCTATTTGGCGTTCAGTAGTTACAGGGCAAAACTAATGACCAGAGTTGTTCACGTCTCCCCTGTGACCCAGAGCCCATGCTCTGAGCCACCCACTTCTCTAACTCTCCCACACCAAGACAGTTTTCCCCCTGCCCTAAATCACCCCGAGGCCAGGTGCCGGACAACTAGGGACAGCCCCTATGCCCCAGAGACCACCAGAATCATTCAAACTAGCTAACCCTAACCTGTTTACCCTTACATGCCTAATCTTTTGTAAAGAAATCCTGGTAAAGGCCATGGCCTATGCCTTCCCCTTGCTCCGTTCTGCCTCCTGACGGACCCTGGTGCTTCCTCCCATGGCCCTGCATGACACACTGGGCCTCTGTTTCTAGGAGAACTGTGAGTAGCAAACCTTTATTTCAAAGGCATTGGCCTCTCTGTGTAGTCACTCAGTCTCCTTCATAAATTAACACCTAGACAGAAATCAACTCCTACCTCAATAAATGCTGGTTTCTGATGGGGCTGCGGGGGGGTGGGGTGGAGCAGGCCATAATCATGTCTTAGCTTTTTTCTTCCATTGCTAACAATCTCTCTTCCCCACAGATATTAGCACTGTGCTGAACTCATCATCATCAAAGTGGAACTTAATCAGTGCTTGTTGAGCTGAAAAATAATTCTTTTTTTTTTTAAGATTTTATTTATTTACCTATTCATAAGAGACAGAGAGCGCAGCAGGCAGAGGGAGAGGGAGAAGAAGGCTCCCCACAGAGCAGGGAGCCCCAATGTGGGACTCGATCCCAGGACTCTGGGATCAGGACCTGAGCCGAAGGCAGATGCTCAACTGACTGAGCCACCCAGGCGCCTCCTGAAAAATAATTCTGTCCTCTCCTCAATTATTACTTGGTGCCAAGGCCCAGGCTAGAACTACAGGGGTAAACTAGGGTGGCAAATTATGTTTGAACAAACCCAATCAACTAGCGCTTGAGAGATCATAATGAAGTCAAATGCCTACATGTCCCTTTTAGGTAGTTAATGTACCTTTTGGGGCATTCTGTGTTTGTGATCTATCTGCTGAATTCTTCTTGGCCGAAGAGTCTTTCTCAGTGGTTGAATTTATACCAGGAGACTACAGGGGAGGAAAAAAAAAAGAATAAATTTAGTAAAAGTGGTTGTGAGAGGAACACGAAGAGCGTACATGACATTCCCTAGACATTTCTCATTGTTCTTAGAGACAGAACATGCGGGGGGAGACCGTTCAGTACAGCCTGAGCACTCAGCCCTCCAACCCAGGAGCATGGCCAAGAGGTGGCAGATGTGGAAAATGCAGGTGCTGGGGATGGAGCAGGCCAGGGTGCCAGTCCCAGTCGTGTCCCTCAAAAGAGCTGCTAATCTTGGACAAGTCCCTGAACCTCTTGGTGGTCTTGGTTTCCTCCTAGGTCCTTAGGAGGATTAAGTCAGCACGTGCATGCAAATCGCATGCGTGGCAGCTCATGGAAAGTGTTCTGTGAGCATCACTGCCATTGTTCACACACTCACTCACCGAACCCCCCTCAGGGGACATCTCCCTGAGCAGCTACCTCGGTGTCTGCCAGTGGGCACACCCTGGAACCTAGGCCCTAACCAGAGGAGCTCCCAGTGGAGCTGCGGGAGAGAGCAGGAAATAGACAGTTACGCTAAGGGGTGGAAAGTCTCACCTATTTCTTAGGGAGGTAATGTAAGTTGGGGTGAGTGACAGCGACTCAGAATGACAGTGGTTCAAATTAGGTAGAAATTTCCCTCCCACATAATAGTTTGAAGTTGGGCACTCTAGGGCTAATACGGTATTTCTGCTGTGATAAATCCTTAGGGACTCTGACTTCTTCCAGCTCGTGATTACAACATTCTTAAAACAGGAGCCTTGTTCTTAGGGTCCAAGATGGCAGCTAGAGTTCTCAGATATTGGGGGACAACTACTAGTCTGCCACAAGCTGTGAAAGCAGAGTAGTATCGGAAGCCAGGGTGGGGAACGCCTGATTCTGTCTGGGGGAGAGCTGGAGGGCTTCCAAGGAGAGAAGACACTTCTGTTCTGTCTTTAAGGATGAGGAGGAGTTGAGCAATGTTGAACAGATGGCCCACCACACAGCAGACAAGCAGTCCACCAGCCGCAACAACTACTTCGCTTTTATATAAATACAATATTGGAATGGGAAGCGCAATGAAAGGACTTCTCGTGTCCCGTGCAGCTGGCTGTCCAACAGCTACTGATTTTTATAGCGTAGAAATGGGTCCTGGGATGTGTTAGAGAGAAAACGCTCCCGGCTCAATGAAGCATCACAGCTCCTTGTTAACCGGCCTCACAGAGATCTGTAGTCCAGCAGAGAATAAATGCACTTCACTAGACTCCAATCCTGGGCGTAAGTCCTGGGCGGTGTAGAAGGAGCTCAGACTGACCAGGTCCGGATGTCAGCTGAGGTCAGCTGTGTGGCCTGGGTTACGTTGTTCACCTCTTAAGTCTATTGCTTCCTTTGTCAAATAAAGATAATTTCAACACCTGCCTTGCAAGGGTGTTGGAAGGCCTAGAGAGGACACATCCCCATTTAGTCTCTTGGGTTGTGACCAGTGACCACGTCCAAGCTGTGAGGCAAGGCGACTATCGTGCGGGTGGGGGGTAAGCTAAGACTGCTCTGGGATCCCCTCCCCACCATGGCCCAGAAGAGATGGAACCCTTCTGCCCCACGTGCTCACCCTGCTGCTCAGATTTCCCATGCTGAGGGTTCAGCTGTGATGGGACAGGATGGCCAGGGAGGCCAGGGAGCCTAGGGAGCCTTTTTTGAGCCAATGTGGGATGCAATCTGGGGCTGCCCAGAAGTGTCTGGAAGGGCATTGGGCTTTGCAGATCTGGTATTAGCAGGTACGGGCATTAGCTAGAGGAGTTGGGGTCATTACTGTTAATGACCGTTACTGTACCCATGCTCTGGAACTTGGGAAATCTCTGGTTAAAATGAGTAGATATTCCAATAGGACCCAACTGAACAATCTCGAGCATTTCCTGTCCTTGGACTGAATCTGCAAGAATGAGTATCATTTGTGATGTTCATTTTGCAGGTAAGAACAGAGAGGCTCAGTTTTGATGAAAGCTGTGCGGTTGAGAGGTGGCATCACCTGGAGGGATCTTTAGATCTTCCAGAACCAAGCTAATGTGTTTTCTTGCCTTTACCTATGACTCCATGGTGGTTTTTCACTCCTAGATCCCATATTGTGTCACAGATATGGACAGCTTGGGTAGGACTTGTTCTTTCTTTAACCCAGACCTCTCCTCCAAAGCCTAGTCCTGTAGATGGAACTACCTAGGTGACATCTGCCTCCATACTTCTCACAGGTATATTAAAGGTAACAAGTTCAAAGCTGAACTCTTGGTATCTTTCCCCTACCGCAAAAGGTTCCACTCTTCCTCTGAATAAATGGTACCATTCAGATGCTTAAGCCACACAGCAGGCAAGCCTCCTTGGCTCCTTCCTTCCTTTCCCTACCCCCTTCCCCATTCCCAAAGCCAGTCGGTTAGCACCTGCTGAAAGATCTGGCTCCAAGACACACTTCAGGTCTCCACCTCCCACCACCTGCTGTCACTTTCTCTTCCTGAGACAACCACAAAAGCCTCCTAACTGGTCGTCTGTCCCCTTCTGTTACATTCTCCATATTCAGAAGACAGTGGGCTCTTGTAAAAATATAAATCAGAGGGTGTCATCTCCCTGTTTTAATGGATTCCCGCAGCCCTTAAATTATATCTATATTCCTTACTGTGACCCTCCCAACTGTACAGGACCTGGCCCTTGCTACTTCCCCAGCCTTGACTCCTGCCCCTCTGTCCCACATGGGCTGGGTGACAGTATCATTGGCCTTCTCTCTGTTCCTTGAATATCTCATTTTTTTGTTTTTGTTTTTTTGCCTCAGGGCCTTTGCACACACTGTTCCCTTTTTCTGGAAGGTTCTTCCATTCACTCTTTTAATGGCTGACTCCTCAGCCTTTGGTTCTCAGCCCAAATGGCTCTTTCTGGTGGTGTTATCTGTCACATGTGTACCCTTCCTTCTCCATATACACAAGACCCATGCCCCAATGTGAAAGACTTAAGCTGCTCCCCCCAGCTTCTTTTGTGGCTGGGATGCAGACATTTCACCTATAGTCTACCCTTTAGATGCGCTGCACCTGCCCAACACTTCGAAGTGTAAATGACCAACATGATGAGGCAGCGCCACGCAGACTCCAGTTTCAGGAAGACTGCTGACAGGAAAGCAAAGCGGACCTCCCAGTCCCCAGGAACGCAGGTCAGGGCACAGCCGTGTCCCTTTGCAGAGGTGGGATGGCCTGGGCATTGTTCTTGGTGGCATGGCCTCTGAAACTAACAAGCCGGCCCTCCCTGAGGAGTGGTGCACCACTCTTCCCTGAATACGTTTCTTCCTGGAGCAGATTCCATCGTTTGCAGGTAAGAATTTTGATGATGATTCATATATATATATATACACACACACACACATTTTAAAGATTTTATTTATGTGAGAGAGAGAGAGAGCACAAGAATGGGAGGGGCAGAGGGAGGGGGAGACGCAGACTCCCCACTGAGCAGGGAGCCCGATGCAGGGCTCGATCCCAGGACCCTGAGGTGGTGACCTGAGCCAAAGGCAGTCGCTCAACTGACTGAGCCACCCAGGCACCCCAGATTCCTCCTTATAAAGACCTTTGATATCTTCTCTACTATTTGTTAAATGAATGAATGACCCCGCCTTTAAAAGATAGGAGCCCTTACTTACAGCTGAGCCTCAAAGCAGAAGCAGATATCCCAATAGATGCTTTTTCATTCCCACTGGGGCAAACCCCTTACACTAGGGAAGAGAAGGGCAGACCACAGACTTAAAGCCACTTAACTGCGGACTCTTTCAGACAGATTGTTGCCATTGAAAAACATATTTTGAACACAGACAGCTATTTCTGTGAGCAAATGGGAAAGTGTGTCTGCTAAAAACAAGGGAGAGGCTCTGTCCTCACCATGGAATTCCATCAGTCCATCCTGGTTCACCCAGTAAGACTTCAGCTGCTTTCACTGTTGGAAAGCATTTGATTATTTCTATTTCTGGGGCAGAAAATGGAATCTTTAGCTGGGTTTCTGAAATAACTGTCAGGAGATTTTATGTATTTCGGTACAAAGAAAATACATTTTGTTTTACACAGTGACAGGCAGTGCAGAAACATTAAATAATGTGATCTTGGCCTCCGAGGGACCGCTATTCGTCTACAAGGGCTGCTTGTCTCCACTTCTTGGGGACGGACACTTGCAGAGAGAGCACCATTATTTGCTAAGCGCGGGACCAAGACGTCACACAGATGGCCCCGTTCCTAGGAGCTGGAGAGAGAAGAGTGAGAAAAGGGGCCCTGGCCTCCTGGAGTTGACATTCTACTAGAGGGAGCCAGACAGTGAACAATCCTAAGTCCCTGGGGAAGAGAGCAGCCCCTGAGAAGCGCCATGCAGAGCATTAAAGCAGCCCCGTGATGAGAGAGTAGCTGGGCGGTCAGGACCGGCTTCACTGGGATGAGGTCACTCCAAGGGAGTGAAAGGATGCGAGGAGTCTGGGCAGAGAGGTGGCAGCCGGATTCTGCAGGGCAGTCCGTGGCAGGCTAAGGAGGCTGGACTGGCTACCAAGTGCACTGGAGAAGCCGCCGGAGGTTTTAAGCAGAGAAGAGTCTCATCTGGTGTACGTGTGTGACAAGGTCACTCTGGGCTGGGGCCAAGGGTAAAAGGGAGGAGCCCAGGCGGAGGCCGCAGCCCTCACACTGGTTGCTGGAAATCAGCAACCTCCTCCCCCCTAGCCATGCCGATGATCAGGAAGAAGGCTAGCTGACGACAAAGCACAAGCTGACACCCTGCAAACCAACGCCCCCAACTCCTGGGCGGGACATGTGTGACATTCCTCCAGGAAACTTCCAACTATCTAAAGGTTAATGCCTTGCTGGAGGGGAAAACAACCTTAATTTGACAATGGCAAAGCCTCCAGTATCTGGTAGGTCCTTGTTAGCATATGAAAGTTCTTTTGAAAACCTCCCTTAATCCTTCCCTCCCCCAACCCCATAGTATACAACCGATTGCTCCTCATAACCCCAGAGCAGCTCTTTCTGCCCCCGGGTCCTGTCCCCGTGCTTTAATAAAACCACCTTTTTGTACCAAAGACGTCTCAAGAATTCTTTCTTGGCCGGAGGCTCCGCACCCCACCCCACCTCACCTCACCAATATTCCAAAACGTCATCATTGAGATAGCCCCCTGGTGAGGCCCAGGGGGCAGTTGGATACACGAGGGTGGGGAGGGCGATCTGGGCGTTACTGGCATATGGGTGGCATTTAAAGTCAGAGTGATGAGGGAGCAGAAGGCTCAATGAAGACAAAGCACAAGGTGACACCCTGCAACCTCCCCCCAACCCCCACTCCTGGGTGAGACAGGTGTAACATTCTTCCAGGACGCTCCCAACTATCTTTTTTTTTTTTTTTTTTAAGATTTTATTTATTTATTTGAGAGAGAGAGAATGAGAGAGAGCACATGAGAGGGGGGAGGGCCAGAGGGAGAAGCAGACTCTCCGCCGAGCAGGGAGCCCGATGCGGGGCTCGATCCAGGGACTCCAGGATCATGACCTGAGCCGAAGGCAGTCGCTTAACCAACTGAGCCACCCAGGCGCCCGACGCTCCCAACTATCTTAATGTTAATGCCTTGCTAGGAGGTATAAACATCCTTAACTTGACAATGGCAAGGCCTCCATTATCCTGTAGGTCCTCTTTAGCATATGAAAGTAATTTTGAGACCTCCCTTTTCCTTACTTCCCCACTTCCCCCAACTCCCCAGTATATAACCAGCCACTCAAGACCCCCCAGGGCAGCAGCTCTTCCTGTCCACGGGTCCTGTCCCTGTGCTTTAATAAAACCACCATTTTGCACCAAAGATGTCTCAAGAATTTTCTTGGTCATCGGCTCCGAACCTCACCCCACCAAACCTCACCTATATTCCAGAACCACAAAAGAGGACCAGATGAGACCACTCAGGAAGAGTATGTAGGTAGAGGGGAAGGGGCCAGGACAAACTGCCTGACGGAAGGAAGGCACTCGCAAAACTCTGGCAACATAGAAGCCAAGAGAAAAAAGCCTCTCAAGAAGGTGGGAGCAGCCAACCAACAGACGTGGACTAGAGTGTGAGCAGACTAGGGTTGGGGCCCCGGAAGCAGGAGCAACTGCTTGGCTGCACTGAAGGCAGGATCCGTGGGTGCGGATGAGGCTTTGGGAAGGGTGGCAGGAAATGGGGGTGCAGAGGCAAAGTTTTGAGGTGCCAGAGCAGGACTGTTCCACGATGGCACAACCCAACAGCAGAAGACGATGCTAGACGGCCCGGGGGGGTGGGGGGGGGTTTGTGCCCGCCGCAGGGGGCGAGGTCCAGATCCAAGTGCGGCAGGGCCCCTCCTCCGTAGGCACAGGGGGCTGGCGGACCGTGAGGGTACAGATGGGGGCAATCGCCTCGGGGTAGGAAGGTGAGGGCTTTCCAGCTGGCTGCTGCTAGCGGAGGGCCAGTGGGAAAGCCTGCTCGCCGTGCGAGACTTCTGGAAAGGGAGCCCAAGTGACATAAGGGTTGGGGGGAGGGGAGCCCGGACGTGCGGAGGGCCCAGCTGGGACGTGTGGCCGCGGATTGACAGGGAGCCCGGCCACCCCGGTGCGTGTGCTGCAGTCTTCAGCAGCTCAGGGAGAAGGCCCTCCTGCAGCTGTACTCCTCTCACACCTGTAGAAAGCAAGTCCTGGGGAGCTTAAGGAGCTTGTCGGAGGCCGCGGGGCTGCGGTCTGAACCCGGGAGAGTGTACTGTGTGCACGGAGGTTTCTGGGATGTGTCCCGCATATCTGCAGGCAGGCTAAGGCGGGTTTGCGAGACCCGTGCTGGACGAGTGACCGTGGGAGCCTGATTCGTTGACATTAGCTGACCTCCAGGTCACAACGGGCCCTCCTGGTTTGGATGCCAAGAGCTATCCATTTTGCCTTGCATCGCCTCCAGCTCCAGGCTGGGCTGGGCCCCTGGAATGGAATCCGGAGGGGAGGTGAGCACATCTAACCCAGGCTCCCTGAAGACGGAAAGCCATGATAACATAGAAATGCAGCTCTCCAAACTGCAGGTAGGCAACAACATTTAACTTCAGACTCCCGTCATGTGTCCTATAGTCATTTGCCCTATAAATACGGCCCTTACGGGGATGGTCAGTTGGAAGTCTTCGCCTGAAGGGAGGATGCTCCACCAGGCCTCTCTATGGGGACTCCAGCCGGGGCTGTCTCCACCGCAGGCAGCCGGTGAGAGGCTGGATGTTATAAGTACCCGATTTGATTGAACTTTGTCTTATTCTCCTTTACTGCTTACTATTGTCCTCACCTATGCATGGATTTCCCTTTTCTTTCTGTTTCCATTAGATTTTTATAATATCAGTAAAGTGTTTTTTTCCCCTTTGAAACTGAAGAGGACGGGGTATGCCATGAATCTTTTCTTCAGAACAGACAGCAGGGTTTTAACCAGAGACCTTCAACCTCTGTGGGGCCACAGAGACTTTCCAAGGAATACTGGGATGGTCAGTTGGAAGAACATCCATTTCCAGATCCCAAGTGTCCTCACATCCTGTTTTCTTGAAAGTGGTCATCCTGCAGCCTTTATCCCACTTTACAAAAGAAAGGCACAACCTTCACCCATTCCAAACACCAGGTGAACGTTTCAGGGTGGAAACACCCCCAACTCTGCACCAAACAAAGGGGAAAGGCTGGTCTGACAATGAATCAAGCCTCATAGGCTACTTAATAAGGACGAAACAGGGTATTAGAAATGAGGACGGCGGTCTACAGCTTAAAGGTTAGTGGGAGAGACCACCATGATCAGTGAATGACCCAGTAATTCCCTAGCTCGGAAGGAGAGGGCTCTGAGTGGGTAGAACAAGAATGTGGACCTGGGTGGAGACTGCGGACCCTGAGGGCTTCAGCTGAGACAGAAGGATGAATGCTGCTACTTCTGCAAAGAGCCAGAGGGTAAATGTTTTCAGCTTTGCAGGCCGTAAAGTCTGCATCACAACTACTCAACTCTACAAAGATAGTCAAAGGTGGTAGTCAACGAGTGACCTCGGCTGGGTGCCAGTGACGTATTACTTATAAAAAACGGGCAGCAGAAGTCCTCATTCATGGTTTTCCCAGGCATTTATTTTTTTTCCAGCTGTCTGGAAAAAGTATGCCTTGCTGGTGAGTGTTTGGCAGGTTTCATGTTACCAATGGGAGGAGATGCTGACCATGTGGGTGGCAGTGGGGGGAGGGAGCTTACTTGGGACCAGAGGGATGGTAGGTACAGAGGCCAAGGTGAAGTTTGGGAGGTATTTTTCATTTGGGCTGAGGGAGGGTGTTTGGAATAGGGGAGTAGGCTGGGGCCCGGGGGTGACATTATAACATAATTAGATCTGCATTTTGAAAAGATTGCAGGGGTTCTGGGGAGCCTGAGGGAGCCAGGAGCCTACTGCAAGGTGAAGGGGCTCAAACTGGACTGTAGGGAGGGGAGGGGAGAGGTGAAGTGGGGTGTTGTTGGAGGTACCTAGGAGGAACATCACAGGGCAAGGCAGAGAGGGGCAAGCTGGTGTGAGAGTGATGTGAGAAACAAAGGCAGAAGAAAAATTAAATTTCCTGACTACCTACAGCCCACTGACTTGAAGCAGGCAGTTGACCTTCCTCCATGTTAATACTTTGCGAAGGGCAAAAGGCAATCTTAGCCCGACCCCCAGGATCCTATGAGTCTACTTTAACATACAAAAATTTCTTTGGAAACTTCCTTTATCTCTACTCCTCCAAGATACATGTTGGCAATCATCCCCTCAAGCATAACACCCACTGATACACTTCTGAAGGGCCTCGTGACTAAGGTTTTACTAGACAGTAAAATGACCTTTTCCCAACAATAGCTAGCCCTCTCAAGGTCCTGGAAACCTTGCTTCCAAAATTCCTTAGAGACTTATGCTATCCCTAACCCTCCCAACTTGAAAGTATATCATGGGCCACTCCTCACCACCCCTCTTTCTGCCCATGGGCCCTGTCCCTGTGCCTTTTTGCACCAAAGACGTCTCAAGAATTCTTTCACAAGAAAGCCGGCGGCTTTGAACCCTAACATCATTCCTGCTTCAGATATGACAGCCAGGTGTGGGTTTATGATGAAGTGATAGGGAGGAAACGCTATGAAAACACTTTGGAGCTGAGCCTACACTGAGAAACTGCTTCCATCCCCTCTACCCCCCAATCACTGCATTTCTGTGGTGACCCTTTGGTGCTCTGCTCATGCCCGCAGATCTAGAGGACCACCAGGACCCCTCCCAAGATGATGGACAGGGAGTGCAGAGATGTGGAACCAACTAGAAGTCATTGAAGCTTCTGGGGATGCAAGGGGGTCTGGGTCTGTGCCCCTCTACTCACCTTAGGGCGGGGAACTTTCTTGTTCTGGCGAGGCCCCTGGGAGATACATCTCTTAGAAGTGAACAAAGAAAACTCTCTTTCTAGGGAAGAGAAAAATGGGCTTCAGTCCCTTCTTGTCCGGAGGTGACGCTGCAGACCAGGAGTTCTGACACAGCCCCCTCCCTGGAGGCAACAGCAACAGTAGGACAATGGACCTCAGGCAAACCAGAGCCCCTCTGTCATTCCCTCTGCTGAGTGACCTTGGGCAGGTCACCTAACCTCTCTGATCCTGTTAAAGGTTTGAATACTAAACTACCTTGCAGGGCTGCTGAACCAATTAAAGTAAATAATGTATGCAGAGGACAGTATACAGGGCAAGCACTCAACCCATATGAAAAAAAAAGTACTGGCTTCAAAAGAAAAACAAAAAACTCAAAACCCTGAAACGTCAAAATGAATAAATGTTGGATTAAACACTTAAAGTAACAATCTATCAGCCTCAGGGAGTGTCATTAAAGTTGAAGACAGTTTACAGGTTCTAGTTTTTTTCCCTTTGAAACTTCTGTGTGTACATGGTGATTGCTGGGAGAGCAAACGTATTGAGTGGGTCAGTGAACGTAAATGCTTAGAAAAGCAGCAATGAAAGTGCCTGGCTCTGAGGAAGTATTGCTATGAGCATATCCACCCAATAAGTACAATCATGCTCTTCTCTGAGGACTGCCTTCCCTGTGCCCTGGGCCAGTGCTTTGCAAACTGGACGGCGCTCATAGATCAGGGGGTGGTCAGCCCATCCAGAGATGCTGACGCTGCTCGTTCTAGGCAGCATGTGGGAGGCTCTGCCAGCGCCCCTCCAGGGTCAGTACGCTCACCATGGTGTGGACCGTACCGCCTCTCGGGAGGCCCCCCCCATCCTGCTGAGTGGCCTCACTTTCCCTAAGGGAGGTAGACTGAGGGGGGAGACCCCTGTCACTGGCCAGAGAGGCCACCAGCTAACAAGAGTAGGTTGATTAGCCCGTCTGAGCAAAATCCTGGCCCCCAACTGTGCCGGGAATCCCTGGGCACAGGAACCTCTCTGCATCTTATCCTGCTATAAGATCAGGGTAACAGCCTCGCTCATAAGGTTTGGGTGGGGAGGACACAAAAGAACCCAAACTGTGGCTAGTGCAAAGAATGGGAGTCAGTGTGCAATAGCATTGTTTTTATTGCTAACCAGGGTAGAGCTTTGTGCTCAGACTCATTCTTCACAGCATGGGCTGTTTTCAGCACATTTAAGAAAAAAATAATTTTCTCACTTCTGTCTTCCACTTCCAAAGGGTCCTGGGTTGTTAAAGGACTTCATTAGTGAATGTTGTCTGCCTCCTGGGTCCTATTGACCTCTTAAAGATGGGGTTTTGCTGCATCCCTGGGGTGCCCCCATGAAAAGGGTAGACATCACCTCCTGGAGGAAACATCTGCCTAACCCAGCATTGTGTCTCTCTGGCTTTGCAGTCCTGAGTTTGATCCGGGCTTGGTCACCCACGGGCTGGTTACCCATTACAGTCCTCTCCCGGCTGCCATGAGGAATGCCTCTGGGTCTTATCACACTCTGTTCCCTCCACCTGGAACAGTAGTTCTTCCCTTCACGTGCCTAAAATACACATCCTTCAAATCTCAGCTTACGTGCCACTTACTGACCCTCTCAGGGCTGGACTGAGGACCTCCCGCCACGCCCCCTCAGTCTGTATGCCCCACCACCGCACCTAATCCACGGGAGCGTGGCTGCCTGGTGCACAGAGCCCTTTACATGTCTGTTGCCGAAATAAGAAAGTAGGCCTTGGGCAACTTGCTTCTCTGAACTCTACTCTCCTTATCTGTGAAATGGATTTAGTGTGTCTTTGAGCTGGTTGTTGTGAGGATTAAATAAAAGGATAAAGAGGCCAGCATGGAGCCTGGCCCAGAGCAGATACCTAGTTTCTGGCATCCATGGGTATAATATCAGGTTCCACCCCTGCATCCCAGCAATTATGTTGCGCTGACTCTTAACTATAATTTCTAAGCAATAGCATTTCAGTCATTTTGGTGGCTAGTGTGGGGGAGCGTGAGAGGGAACCTGGCCTGAGTATTTCAATACCAAGGCTCTGCCCTGTCCCAACTGGATGGCGGCTGGGTGTGGCAGGGGCGCAGGGGTGCCAAGTGCACAAGGGGTAGCTTACTCTTTAACGGTCTTCTCTGCAAAATTAATTTTTCTCTGCGGAATCTCTCTGGATCCAGTTCTGAATAGTCCCAGCTGTTATAGCTCTGTAGGCAAGGGTAGATACCTAACAGAGAGTGAAGAGTGATCATGAAAACTTCCATAAAAGAGAAAGGAGGCAGAAAACAGAAGACAGAGCCCCGCCCCCTGCCCCCCCTGCTGGTCCTGGGGCGGGGGGAGCTTCTAGCATTCGCCTCACCCTACGGTGGCCCTGTGGCCTTGACAGAGCCACTTCCCCTGTGGGAGGCTCTGGTGCCTTCCTCTGCAGAAGAGATGGTGAGGTTCGCCCTGCCCCCCAACAGCATGCGTCTGACGACTGGATCACACCAGGGCACCTGACCCTGTGCTGTACAGATATGAAGGCATTGTAATCATTCCTTTCCCTGCTTATCTCCTCTGCTGTCGCTGAATTGTGAGCTCCCTGAGCGCAGGACCTGGATCATACTCACTTTTGCACCTCGGGGGCTTAGCACTGGACCCAGCACGTGATAAACAGGAGCTTAGTAAGTATTTGCTCAACATATTATCACACTTAGCACCAGAAACTGGCTCTCCCTAAATATTTGATGGTGATGTTAATGGGGCTAATGCTTTTCTTGTAAAGCAAACCATGCGTTTCAGAATCTTGGCTTCTTGGAACCTGAATCCTCAGACGTTAGAAGGACTCCACTGTCTCCCTCAGTTCTTTGGTTTAGAAAGGAAAAGACCAAGGATTACTTGAGAAATTTTGAACTCTTATGCAAAGATGCTGTCTCCATTGGACAAAGTAAGTGGACAGAAAGTTTAGGGAAGGAGGTTCAGCCTTGGACAAAAAGGGGAATAGGAAGGAGGAACAGAAAGAAAAGTGTCAGAGAATGAGAGGCAGGATGGCATAGTGGTCAAAGACCTAATTTTGCAGTGGGACAGCCTGGATCTGAATGCCTGCTCTCCCATTTGTTTGCTGCTGGACCTCTTTGATTCTGCATATGTTAAGAGGATTAAATGGGTGTGCCAAAAAGACTTAGCAGGCCCAGGCTGCTATCCTTGGAAAATCTTGCTTTCGAGGTTGGCCTTTGGCCAGCATCTGCAAGTTGGCTGGTAAACATTTCCTTACACTGATACCGCTTTCCCTAATACCTAGAAGTGGATACATTCCTAGAAGTGTACAAACTATCAAGACCGAATCATGAAGACATATAAAATCTGAACAGACCAATAATGAGTTAGGGGGTTGAATCAGTGATCAAAAACCTCCTAAACGAAGAACAGCTCAGGACCAGATGGCTTCACAGGCAAATTCTACCAAATATTTAAAGAATGAACTCCAATCTTTCTCAAACTCTTTCAAAACATTGAAGAGGAGGGAACACTTCCAAACTCATGAGGCCAGCTTTACCCTGATACCAAAGCCAGATAAGGGCACTACAAGAAAAGAGAACTACAGGCCAATATCCCCGGTGAATACAGACATAAAAATTCTCAGGAAAATACTAGCGAACTAAATTCAAGAGCACATTAGGAGGATCACACACCATGATCAAGTGGGATGGACCCCTGGGATGCAAAGATGGGTGAACATCCACAAATCAATGTGATACACCATATTAATAAAAGGAAAGATAAAAATCACATGCTCATCTCAGTAGATGTAGGAAAAGCATTTGACACAATTCAACATCCTTTCATGGTAAAAACTCTCAACAAAGTGAGTACAAAGGGAACACACTTCAATGTAATAAGGGCCACACATAACAAGCCCACAGCTAATATCATACTCAATGATGAAAAAAGTTTTTCTTCTAAGACCGGGAATGAGACAAGAATATCCACTCTAACCACTCTCACCACCCAGAATAATTAGACAGAAAATAAATAAATAAATAAGAGAGAGGGGGAGAGAAAGGAAAAAGAGAAAGAAAGAAAAAAAATGGCATCCAAATCAGAATGGAAGAAGTAAATTTGTCTCCATTTGCTGATGACATGATCTTGTATACAGAAAAACCTAGAGTCCACCAAAAAAACTGTTAGAATTAATAAACAATATCAGTAAATTGTCAGGATACAAAATCAACATATGAAAGTCAGTTGGGTTTCTATACACTGACAAAGAACTATATGAAAAAAAATAAAGAAAACAACCCACTCACAATAACATTGAAAACAATAAAATACTTGGGAATAAATTTAACCAAGGAAGTGGAAAATCTATACATTGAAAACTATAAGACACTGATGAAAGAAACTGAGGAAGACACAAATCAATGGAAAGATATGCTGTGTAATGGATCAAAAGAATTAATATTGTGAAAATATCCATATTACCCAAAGCCATCTATAGATTCAATGCAATCTCTATCAAAATAAAAAAAAAAAAAGGAAAGGGGCGCCTGGGTGGCTCAGTCAGTTAAGCGGCTGCCTTTGGCTCAGGTCATGATCCCGGCGTCCTAGGATCAAGCCCCGCGTCGGGCTCCCTGCTCAGTGGAGAGTCTGCTTCTCCCTCTCTCTCTGCCTACTTGTGCTCTCTATCTCTCTGTCAAATAAATAAATAAAATCTTAAAAAAAAAAAAAGGAAAAATTCCAATGGTATTTTTCACAGAAGTAGAGAAAACCATCTTAAAATTTGTGTGGGTCCACAAAAGACCCTGAAAGCCAAAGCAATTTTGAAAATAAGCAAAGCTTATTGAGAGTAGACCTTAAGTCTTCTCACCATAACAACAAAATGGTAATTATGTGTGAAGGATGTGCTAACTAACCTTATTATGGTTAACATTCCCCAATATGTACATGCATCGAATTATCACTTTGTGCATCTTAGACTTACACAATGTTATATGTCAATTATAACAATATAGCTGGGAGGAAATTTTTCCCTAACTGATTAGAATGCTCACTGGGCCTAGACTATCTGTAAAACCATATGGCCTTGGCTGAACACCTGCTTTCCTGGAATTTTGGTATATGATAGACAGAGGTGTCTACGTGACCGGCCCCCAATATAAACCTTGGGTGCTGTGTCTCTAGTAGGCTTCCCCAGGCAGAAACATCACACGTGTTGCTACATCTTTGCTGCAGAGGGATGAGAGTGCTCTGCCCAAGTCCTCATGGAAGGGAGAGAGCAGAAGGAAGCCTGCACATGAGTTCCTCCAGACTCTGTCTTTTCCCCTCAGAGTATTCCCTGGCTGGGTATCCTCACTACACTGCTGTAATCTTAGCCGTAAATATAACTACATGCTGAGACTGTGAGTTCTCCCAGCAAATATCCTAATGCAGGATGAACTTGGAGACCCCCAAGACAGTAGGAAATGTAAAGAAGTGCTTACTTAGCACAGTACTTAGTACACAGGAACCTCTCAATAGGTAGTAGATGTTAATAACCTTAGAAAATAGCTAGGTCGAGAAGAGGGGAGTAGGGAACAGGAGTGAAAAGTAGTTAAAAGCAAACATCAGCCTGGCACAGTGTGTGCCAAGGACAAGGGGACAAGGGGACCACGGTTAGGCCACATGGGGTCACTGGGGAGTAGAAGGGTGGAATCATCCAACCAGCATCTGCTTTTGGGCTCCTGAGCCTCTAGGTCCATCAGTCCACAGCACATGGCCAACTAACCTCTGCTGAAACCTGCTTCCTGCAGATCACTGGACACAAAGAGGGGGCGAGGAATGTCTCAGAACTGTTTTTGTTTTTGTTTTTGTTTTGTGGAAGCAGGGTAATCAGTACTCCTGGAGGCTCTAACCGCACACCTTCCGTTCTTTGATGTCAGCAAGAAAAAAGGACAAATGCCTCAGTGAAGGATGTGATGGCAAACCACACACCTAGGCTCAGGCAGAAAAGTGTTTCCAGAATCTCTTTCCCCAGGATGAAGCAGCCCCCTCTTACCTGAAATCCACAGGCTCATCGTGTTACAGATGCTCGATTTGAATTCGTGCGTGTTGAACCAGGATTGCGGGAAGCAGCAACAGAAGCTGGTGTACACAGCTTTACTCAGCAGCGTTGGCAACTTCTGGGGGTGGGGGGGAGGGGGGGAGCAGAGCTCAGGCAACATTCTGGACATCTCCACACCCAGAAAAGAGCTCCTGACTGCAGAAAGGATCTGTGATAAAACTCTGCCTGATATCGCACTGCCTTCCATTCATGGGGAGGCGCAATTTCCATCTGCTGCTGGCCCACATCTTGGTGGACTCCTTACCCTGAGAACCACACCTCAAACCTCATGAGATGCTTGACCACCAACCTCCCTCCCCCACCCCCCACCCCCAGCTCCTCTGCTTGTGGGTCGGTGGCTCAGCCCCTTCTGCCACCCAGCCAAAGAATAGCGCAGAGGACAAGATACATTTGACCTGCCCATCTTGCTACCTCCCAGAGATAACAGGAAGTACTACTACTGTTATTTTTTTCCCTATGCATAGGTGGTACTGTTGTTCCTTCTTAACTATGGTTGATTGCAAATTATACATTTATATCCGGCCTTATTCATTTAACAATATAGTAGTTGTATAATATAATAAACAATATAATAAACAACAAAAGTCCTCAGGTTGTTATCAACTCTTGGGAATTTTTTTTCCCCAAGAATGACCTTCATAATATTGGGCTGAGTAGGCATACCAAAATTTCCTTCTACATCCCCCATCAATGGATGTTGTCTCGTTTCTAAGACTTTACATTACAAATTATGTGGAATAATTACTTTTATTTGTTAACCTAACTCTGGGGCGCCTGGGTGGCTCAGTTGGTTAAGCGACTGCCTTTGGCTCAGGTCATGATCCTGGAGTCCCGGGATCAAGTCCCGCATCGGGCTCCCTGCTTGGCAGGGAGTCTGCTTCTCCCTCTGACCCTCCTCCCTCTCATGCTCTCTCTATCTCATTCTCTCTCTCAAATAAATAAATAAAATCTTAAAAAAAAAAAAAATGTTAACCTAACTCTGTGGCACATAGCAGGCAGTCAAAAATTTGTGTAAAGCATGAGGGAAAGCAGCTTTTCCTGAGTATTCGATTATGACCTCCAGAAGATGGAATCATGATAGTAATTATAGTGGCTATGATGCGCTGGGGGCTTCTCAGGTGCTGGGGATATGTCAGGTGCCTTACAAACATCATCTCATTTAATCCTTAGGACAACTCAGTGAGCGAGGCAGTATTATCCCCATTTTATGGATGATGAAACTGAGGCACGGAAAATCTAATTGACTTGGTAGGCGGACACTTAACTATTGTAAGCACCTGGTAGCAAAAATGTATCAAGTCACTTCTCAGACTGTCAGAGTGCCATTTCCCTAGATCCTTCACAACCCCAGGAATCACTCTTTTTAATCCATGCAATCTAGCAGGTAAAAAGGGGTACCAAATGATTATTGTTTTAATTGGTACGTTTGACTGTTGTTAAGGGTGAACTTTTTTTCCCCATCTGTAGTTCTTCCCTGGTGAATTTCTGGTTTATGTACTTTGTCAATTGGTCCATGGGTTGTTGCATTTTTTTCTTATTGATTTATATAAGTTCTTTTTTTTTTTTTTAAGTTTGTATTTACTTAAGTAATCTCCACACCCAACGTGGGGCTCGAACTCACATCCCCGATATCAAGAGTCGAATGCGCCGCTGACTGAGCCAGCCAGGCGCACCAATTTGTAAGAGTTCTTTACATTGTGTGATGTATGTGCCACGTGATTTCTGCGGTTTCTCCTTTGCCTTTTAAATCTGACTGTGGTAATTTAAATAATTTATGTAGTTAAATCGGTCTTTGTGAATATATATATATTCATACTTTTAAAATTACATGCTTATTTAAATACCAAAGAAATATATAAAATAGAAAAGGAAGTCTCTTATAATCTCATTCCCCAGAGATAACCATTGCTAAGAGTTTGGTACGTATTTTTCCAGATTTTTTTTTCTATTCATAGGCACACATATATACATACACATACACATTTTTAAACACAGAGTTCTATAAATTGCTCTGCTTTTCACTTAAAATATACCATATACAGATCTACTTTATTTATTGTAACTGCTGCATTACAAGTCAGTGTATGGATATAGCACAACTTACTACTTACTGCCTCACAGAAAGAATGTTAAGGGCATTCTATTGGCATTTGAAGTGAAGAGATACCTAGTGTGATTTTTTTTCCTCCAAATGGTGCTTGATGCTCACTTTTAAGAGCGCCTCTTCATAGTGGGACTTGGATTCATTCAACAAGAGAAAGGCGTAGTTTTGGGCTATCCGGTCAAACAGCTTATTCTGGATCTCCTTGTTGGGCTACCAGGAATAAAAGTGCAGAAGGAGTTACTAGAGCCCCTGGTTTTAACGGGCAACGGCTGAGATGCTGAAATAGCTACTTCTCTCGTGTTTAGGAATATTATTCTTGAGATGTTTAACCTCATGTAATTTATGAAATAGTACACTAATTTTTAGATTTATAAAATAGATTTATGCGTAGAGCAGACTGTTGAAGCAAGCGCCCAAACTCTGGGCAGGGAGGTCCTGACTCTGCTCCCGGCCTTGTGGTTGACCAGCCACGTGACAGGGACCAGTTCCTGACACTCCGGGGCTACAAAACATTGTGCAGTGGCTGAAGCACAGGATGTATGGGCCAGGCGGGGGAGGGAGGAGGCAGATGGGGCTCCAGTGGGGGGGTCCACAGAATCAGAGAGGCTTCCAGCCCACATTAAAGAGGTTAGGGTTTGTTCCACAGAAAAATAACTTGAGCAAGGGAGAGAAGTGATCAGATTTGCATTTACCTGGTACCTCTCATGAAAGATCCACCAGAAGCTATCCAGCCATATGGCTCTTGGAGAAGGAGAAGAGAGAAACTTCTCTAATTCTCTATCTGAACAGAAAGACTTGAAGAGAAAAAAAAATTCACATTATTATTGCTGTTGTTTTTGAAAAACAAAAACAAAAACAAAAACATTTTTCACCTGGAGCCACAGGCCGATTCATAATCCTCTCCGTCCAAGACCCTCCTTTCCTCCTACGTTCCACAGCTTGTTACTATTACTAATCACACCATCTTCCTGCCAGTCACCTTTGGATTAACAGACTTTGGCGTCAGCTTAAAAACAACACTTACCCTTTATTTTTATTTATTTTCTTTTTAAGATTTTATTTATTTGCGAGAGAATGAGAGACAGAGAGCATGAGAGGGAGGAGGGGCAGAGGGAGAAGCAGACTCCCTGCTGAGCAGGGAGCCCGATGTGGGACTCAATCCCGGGACTCCAGGATCATGACCCGAGCCAAAGGCAGTTGCTCAACCAACTGAGCCACCCAGGCACCCCCAACACTTACCCTTTAAAGAGAGTGCAGGGGCACCTGGGTGGCTCAGTCGTTAAGCGTCTGCCTTCGGCTCAGGTCATGATCCCAGGGTCCTGGGATCAAGCCCCGCATCAGGCTCCCTGCTCCGCGGGAGGCCTGCTTCTCCCTCTCCCACTCCCCCTGCTTGCGTTCCCTCTCTCACTGTGTCTCTGTCAAATAAATAAATAAAATCTTAAAAAATAAAATAAAATAGAGTGCAGACTATTTGCCTTTCCAGCTGTTTTTACATGCTCTCATTTAACCACTATGATAATCTCCATTTTACAGATGAGGATACTGAGGGCCAAAGAGCTGAAGTCACTTGCTCAAAGTAATACAGCCAGGAAGTGGCAGAGCTAGGATTGAAACCTCTAACTCCAGGCCCCTGCCCCAAGCTCTCACCTACTTCAATCAGCAGCGATCAGCAAATACAGATACTATACAAATGCAAATCACTGGACCAAGAGATTCTGCTGGGTTCCTAGTAAGCCTAAAATTAGAATAGAATTATCAGTGAACTCAGAGGGGCAGAAAATTCAGACTTCATTGTGATGCAACATGGTCTTGAACCTTATTCTGATTCCAAAGCTACTGTCTTAATAATATAATAATATGTTAAGCGGCTGCTTTCAGCTTAGGTATGATACCAGAGTCCTGGGATGGAGCCCCACACCAGGCTCCCTGCTCAGCTGGGAGCCTGCTTCTCCCTCTCCTCCCTGCTTGTGCTGTCTCTGTCTCTCTCTCAAATAAGATCTTTAAAAAATATATATATGATGAGGGAACAGAAGGCAAGCTGAGGACAAAGCAGAAGCTGACACCTCACTCCCCCATGGGATATTTGTGACATTCCTCAGGCACTCCTGGCTGCCTTAAAGCTAAGGAAAGGAAAAACAACTTACAGAGATCACAATCCTGCAAGACTTGAGCCTCACTCAGTTTACAAATGACTTAGCAATCTACAAGAACAAAGCATTTCTATCAATGACCTAGCTTCCAGAAGGAAATGTAGATACAATTAAATGCCCTTATACCTGCAACCCACTGAGGGCAAAATGTAATGTTCCTCCGGGAAGTTCCCACCTATCTTAATGTTAATGCCTTAACTTGACAATGGCAAGGCCTCCAGTATCTTGTAGGTCCTCTTTAACATATGAAAATCCTTTTGAAAACCTCCCTTTTCCTTACCTCTCCTAACTCCTGAGTATATATAATCAGCTACCCCTCACAACCCTGTGCAGCAGCTCTTTCTGCCCACAGGTCCTGTCCCCATGCTTTAATAAACCACCAAGGAACTGGTGAAGAAACTATCAAGAATTCCTTCTTGGTCTTCGGTTCCAGACCTTACCTCACTGATATCCCAAAACCACATCATTCATATATATATACATATATATATGAATGAATATATATATTCATATATTTGTTGAATGCTTACCATGTGTTGGGCATTGGGCTATGCACATTCCCTCCTTATCTCACTTCATTTTCCACAATCTATGTGGTAGATACCACAGGTATCCCCGGTTTATAGAAGAGGGATTTTGGATTGAAAGGTTAAGATTCTTGCCTAAGCTCACATGGCCCGGGAGGCTCTGAAGCAGGCAGCCTGACCCCAGAAACACCACACAGGCTGCCCCTTAGCATTATGAAGAGCAAAGAGATCCCACTCCTGCTCCCCTCCTGGATGCAAAGGGAGAGACCTCTGGTCTCCCTTCGGGCCCACGGAAACGGAGGGCATGGTGCATTGATAAGCAAGCCTCCCTCATTAGCAGGGAGCTCTCTGAGCCCTGCTCTTTGCTTTGTCTTTTTCACCATTCCTCCTGTTCCTTAGAGAAAAAGTAGAGTTGGAGCAGTTAAAGAGCACCGACTCTGGTACCAGACTGCCTGGATTCAAATCCAGCTCTTACACTTAAAAGCTGTGTGACCTTGAGCAACGTTCTTGAGCCTGTATATGCTCAGTTTCCCCATCCAGATGAGATAGGGAAACTGAGACTCCATAGAAAATCTGCTTTTTGCTCCTTTTCCTGCTTCTATTCTTGCTAGGACGTGCACTGCCCACTTTACACAAGCCTCATAACACAAACAGTGTCCTCCTTGCAAAGGACAAGGAGTTGATGATTTCTCTAGAGCAGACGACATCTAAGGAAGGACCAGGTAAGAATGACTGGACGTGCCATTATATGCGTGTTCCAGACCACTGGAATTCCCGGCTCCAAGGAATAACATCTGGGCCTTTGTCATTGTTCAAACCAGTTCCTGGCTGCCTGCAAGGACACATACACCAGACCACCACCTTCAACAAAAACCCCAGACCCTCAACATAGACAAGACTCATATCCCCTTTCCTTTCTGAGTCTCCCAGGCACTCTGTCTCCACCTGCACTCTCTTAATACCTTCAACAAACTCTGCTTTCACTTCCTGCTGGCTTGGGTTTGATTTCTAGCCTGTGAGCAGCCAGGGCCCCTCTTGGCTGGACCCGTGGGACCCCCTCTGGGTCCTGGGAGGCAGCCTGCCGACATCACAGGGAATGGAGAGTGATAGTCCCCACCTCAAGGACTGATAAGATGATTCAATGAGCAAGTGACACATACAAAGTGCTTGGAACAGTGCCAGGCCCAGAAACACTCGCTAAGGGCGTGCTAGTTCTTATTTATTTATTTACTCATACTCCTGTTTCTTTTTTTTTTTTTTTTAAGATTTTATTTATTTATTTGACAGAGAGAGAGAGACAGCAAGAGAGGGAACACAAGCAGGGGGAGTGGGAGAGGGAGAAGCAGGCTTCCCGCTGAGCAGGGAGCCTGACGTGGGGCTTGATCCCCGGACCCTGGGATCATGACCCAAGCCGAAGGCAGATGCTTAATGACTGAGCCACCCAGGCGCCCCTCCTGTTTCCTTTCAAAAAGGATTTCATTTCAGCCCTTCAACAGTTATTTACTGAACACCTACTAGGTGCTTGGATGGTGATGGGAGAGTCCTTGCCCTGGAGATGTTCCCAGGTGAGCAGACATTTATAATCTAGTGTGATGGGGGCCCTGAGAGAAGGAATCCAGGGGGATAAGGAGCCCAGCAGGGCAGCTAACCTGTGCTTGGGGTACCGGGAGAGGCTCTGAGAGTAAGAATGACTGCTGAAGAAGGGAGAGCTGAGAGCTGCACAAACAGGAGAAAGCATGTGCTGAGTTGGGAAACAACAGGACACATTTGGGGAACTTCAAGGGGTTTCTGTGCCGTGGAAGGCGCTGGGTGTGGGCGCTGGGAGGCCAGGCAGGAGTCAGGCTATGAGGCACCTGGGGGCTGGGACCAAGGGTTTGTTCTGCCACCGGACAGGGGGCAGGGGGACAGCCAGCACTGAAGAATTTTCAACAGGGCATGACCACCATGAAGCTGTTGTTCTAGAAAGATCCCTGGAAGCCGCACAGAAGGTGCATCAGAGGGGATTGAGATGGTAAGGTCGACGGCATGCTGAGCAGTAGGTGCAGTGATCCAGACGGGAAAGTGTGGGGCCTGAACTTGGCAGTGGCAGTGGGAAGGAGGAGGAGATACAGTAAAGATAGTAGCTGAGTCTCAGTGACGGATCGGATGCAGGGGCGCGGGCCAGGGAGGAGACTGGCTAATGCTCGGGCGGAAGGCTGTGGTTTTCAAGACAAGAGGAGAAGCAGGTCTGATGAGTCTGAGAAGTCAGAGCCAGCAGGGCCGGTGGTGGAGGAATATGGGAGTCGGGAGCACAGCTCAGAATATGGGAGTTGGGAGCACGGTGGGGAGCCTTGTGTGGGGAGAAGAGGACTCCTGCCCACCCTCCGCTGTCCCCATGAGTCTGTGCAGAGGGAGAAGACAGAGCAGAGGCAGGGGTCCTAAAGAACGTGGGCTTGGAAGACCCAAGCGTGCTGCTTGAGTAGATGGAGAAGCTACCACAGAAACCAAGGAAGGACAGAACTTCTGAGTGCAGGGAGTCGTCCTCTGGGTCAGTTCCACAGAGAGGTCGTCTAAAGTAATGACAGAACACACCCTTTGGACTTGGCCCTGTGAGAGCGAAGGGTGGACGGACTCGGGCCACGTCAGGGACAGGAACGGGGCAGGCTGCAGCAGCACTGAAAGAGGGCGGCAGTGAGAAGCGAGGGCAGCAAGCGTGGGCAGCTCTTCGCATCCCAGGTGAGGCTCAGTGCCAGGCTGGCGCCCATCACTGAACAAGGGAGCCAGGCCTTTGATCCTCATGGAGCTCATCGTCTAGCGATGGCCTCCAGAGTCTCTGAAGCAGAGGCAACTTGGGCTGCCAAGAGAGGGGGAGAAGTGACGGAGGAGAGGGTGTGAGGAGGCAGGGAAGGGCTTGTGATGGCCCTGAGCAGGATGGAAGAGGGTCCTTTTAAAGGTACGACACAGGGGCGCCCGGCTGGCTCAGTCGGTGGAGCGTGAGACTCTTGGTCTCGGGGTTGTGAGTTGGAGCCCCCGTGGTGGGTGTATTGGGTGAAGGAAGGGAGATTCCTTCAATAAATAAAACTTTAAAGAAACAATAAGATAAAATCTTTAAAAAAATAAAATAAAAATAACTGTAAGACACAAATTGCCTTGAGTTTCCTGGGAGCTAAAGAAAAGCATTAGTTAGAAGCATTAGTTATAAGACGAAAAGCATGCCAGGAGATGCACAGGTTTTCTGGGGGATTAAGGAGAACATTCCCCATGGGCCCTCCAAAATGGGACATTAAATAACAGTGGTCACTGTCCTTGGGGCTAGCCACCTTGCAGATGGAACATGAGTGCGTGTGGTTGTGCCAGGGGGCAGGAAGGTCACGCAGGGACAGCAGATCCATGAAACATACAATCTATTTGTTCTCAAGTCTTTCTTCTATTTATTTCTTTATTTTAAAAGTTTGTTATTTATTTAAGTAATCTCTACGCCTCTTGTGGGATTTGAACTCACGACCCCAAGATCAAGACTCGCATGCTCTTCTGACTGAGCCAGCCGGGCGCCCCTTTCTTCTTTTTAAAGTACAGAAAAGGGAGGAAGAAAGAGCTATAGCCTTATCACTCAGCGAACATTGGTAATATCTATGTATGGTTTCATCCCCAGATTTTCCCGTGTGTGTACTTATGGAACATCATATTGTAGAGTTTTATATACTGATATTTTTCATTTAACATCACAGCATAGCAAAATACACTTTTTATAAACACTCGTTTCAATGGCTAAGTAGTCCATGATATATGTACCCAAAATGACTGAGCTGGCCTTCTATTAATCATCCTTAAACTATTTCTAAAAATGCTGATAATAGACACTACCATTTTTTGGGAACTCATGACTTACTAAGCACTGTGCCAAGTGCTTTTCATTTTTTAAAAGGATTTATTTATTTATTTTAGAGAGAGGGTGTGTGTGTGCGCTTGTGAGCGGGGTGGGGGGTGAGGCATGCAGAGGGACAAGCAGACTCACGCTGAGCGTGGAGCCCGACAAGGGGCTCCATCCCGGGACCCAGAGATCAAGACCTGAGCCGAAACCAAGAGTCGGACGATTAATCGACTGAGCCACCCCGGCGCCCACTAAGCGCTTTTTATACCCTTAAATAAGATCCTTATGGTATTTAATTTTACAATGACACCTCTAGGTAGAGACTGCTCCAATCCGTATTTTATAGAAGAAACTAGAGCCCAGAGAGCTACTTTCCAGGTCCTTGCTATCATACATGACCATGCAAGGAACATCTTTTTACATTGTCTGGGGCAAATGTGATGCTCTGAGTGCCGGCCACTCCTCCACCTCCACGCTGGCTGAGGACAGCAGGGGATCAGGTACCGGACCCCAGAGCCACCACTGCCTGGTCAAAGGCAGCTGTCCACTTGCTGACTGCAGCCCACGCTGGACCCATGCACTGGAACTCCAGCAAACACCATCACCATGCTGGGCAGTGACTGGCCTGAACAGATCATCACTCTTAGGAAGTCTGAATGCCAGACACCGAGGAAGGAGACAGATGGGACTGACTTAGAGGCAGCGCTGGAGAGAAGGCAGCAGGGAGAACAGGTGAAGAAGAGAGGAGGGGGTGAAGGAAGGGCGGGGAGAGAACAGGAGGGAGGGAGAGGGACAGAGGGACAGAGGGAGGAAGAGGAGGAGGAGAGAGAGATGGGGGAGTGAGGGGTTTGAAGCACCAGTGGGAAGCGCAGGTAGTTAAGACTAAGAAGCTGGGTCCCGGGAACAGTGGGGTGACTAGTTAGGAGCCAAGGGGACACACCAGTTAGTGAACAATCGTGAAGGGCACTGAGGCACAGCTGTAGGGCTACAGATACCATTTCCTGGGCTTCCTACCCTCCCCACACCTCCTTACACTCTTCCCCACCCCGAGTGGACAGTGCTGTCTCACACCTGTTCTGGGCCTCCGAATGCCCCCACCCTGCTTCCTAAGGAACCCAGTGCACTGCGCTCCAAGTGGTAATTCACCCCAAGGGGTACCAAGGGGTGTGGGAGGAAAATTCTAATTAATGTCTGATTTATGTACTTTCTTCTTTTTTATAAAGATTTTATTTATTTATTTGACACACAGAGAGATAGAGAACACAAGCATGGGGGAGCAGCAGGCAGAGGGAGAGGGAGAAGCAGGCTCCCCGCTGAGCAGGGAGCCCGATGCGGGGCTCGATCCCAGGACCCCGGGATCATGACCTGAGCCGAAGGCAGATGCTTACCCGACTGAGCCACCCAGGCGCCCCTAATTAATGTCTAATTTAAAAAAAAACAAGAAATTAAGATTACTAACATACAACGTAGCTATTGACAACAGAGCATGTATATCATATATAAAGAAACATACATCCTCAGGGCGCATGCTCAAAATTTCTTGCTGCTAGGATACCTGATCAAGACAGTCTGGAAACCAGTCCTCTGGGAGGAAGAATCTAGGTTTCGGAGGTAACGTGTGGGCTTGGGTTCTAATCTCGGTTCAGTCACTTGCAAACTGTGTGGCCTTGGGTGACGTACGTAGTGACGCGGACTCTGTTTCTTGGGGTATAAAACAGGGACAGTGCGTGTGCCTGCCACAGGGGTTGCTATAAAGCCGGGCCCACAGCGGGCCTCACGGAGCTGGGCGTACCAGTGAACTGCCCACTGTCTTTCCTTACCTTGCCACTAAGGGGGTTTCTCTCAGCCCGGACCACGTTGCCCACCATGTCACAGAAGTTCACCCCGTTTGGAAGCCTGTTTGGTGCAGGGCTGTTAGACGGTGTGTACTGGTAGAGCTCCACCAGCAGATCTTTATGGGCTATTTTCTGAAACAAAAGCAGAGTATGGAAATGAGGTCCGTCATTTGACAGTTTAAAACGAATACTAGGATATCTTCCCTTTTCCGTCACGAAGACAATATAACCATCTTCGAAAACACCGAAGAAAAAAAATGGGGGTGCATTCATGACCCCAGCACCTCTTCCCAAATTCCTGTTTGTGTTATTTCTATCCTCCCTTTTAGGCTCTGAGCACCTGTATACAAATATGTATGTGTAACTTCACTCACTTTACAAAACATAAACACACACACACACACACACACTCTTTAGGCCCTGCTTTCTCCACTTTAGATTTTCCACATTGCTACACTGTCTTCAAATTTATCGCTTTGGATAATAGAGCCTGTTAAGGAGATGTGCTATCGTTTAATTAACTACTCACTGATGACCTCCAAATAATATTACCACTATTAATGATTTGGAGCATATAGTTTCTTCCCTTTTAGGCTTATTTATTTAGAAATAATTTCAGAAAGAGGCAATATAATAACTATCAAAAATGTGAAAATACAGAAAATTGGAAAGAGGAAACCGATCACCATCACCCAAGGCACCTACTGGAAAGGTTCTGAGGGACTGAGCGACTTTCTTTTTTTTTTTTTAAAGATTTTATTTATTTATTCATGAGAGACAGAGAGAGAGAGAGAGAGGCAGAGGGAGAAGCAGGCTCCCAAGGAGCAGGGAGCCCGATGTGGGACTCGATCCCAGGACCCTGGGATCATGACCTGAGCCGAAGGCAGACGCTTAACCATCTGAGCCACCCAGGCGCCCTGACTGAGCGACTTTCTAACAGGGCTTTGGCCTTGGCATTGGCAGAACTCCCTGATGAACTGCTCTGACCCTGACTCAGACAACCTGGGCCCGAGGTCAGCGCCACCACTGACTAGCTGGGCCACCTTGGGCAGGGCATTCACATCTGCTCAGCCCCCATCAGAGGCAGTCTGGCACTTCTGACCCACTCTCGAGCATGGGGCTTTCTCTGCTGCGTGGAAATTTCCTAGGCTGAGAAGTGAAAACGTAACAATAACAGATGGTTTTGTGTGCTCTGGCATTTAAAGGTTTGAATATATATGACCTGGGTAGTTGAAAGAGCCAGCTTGGGAGAATCTTCACTGGGGTGGCTTCGAGGTGGGGCCAGATTGCTGCTGCAGAGGCAGAAGCCAGCCCGGCCATGGGCGGCTGGCGGGGGCTCTGCCCATCAGCCAGGTGCACGATGCTGGACAGGCCATTGACCTACTCCTGACTGTCAGCTTCCTGCGGCATCCAAGTGAAGGACATAAGTGCACCATGGTGTGAACGGGTCTCTTGGAGTGGGGCAGCACCAGGGCTCACATAAGCCCACTCTGAACTTACTGTTTCTAAGAGGAATCACCTTTGAACGCTCTACAAATAAACAGACAAATGACCTCTGGAACACCCCTCATTCTACCCTTTTGAGGGTGGTATGAGAAATTCCTGCGTTATTAAGATACCTTAAGATCCTCTAAAAAGGGGCACCCTGAGGTTTTCCTGCACCATCACCAGGCAGGTTCCAAGCGTGCCCTCCCCAGGACTAAAATATAATTTCGTGCCCAGCAGAAACCAGTCAGAAAGAGACCCAGCAATAGATCCCTTACCCTTTTAAAAATGAAAGATCTGACATTCCTGGATTCTGAGCCTCTGCAAGTATACTCTGATTTGCTTTGACTCTTGTCTGCAGAAGAATGGAAGAGAAACAAGATGTGAGTAACCGTGGGGTCTGTCCCCTGCTGTGCGGTAATGATAGCTGTGATTTTTCACTGGGCCTGAGCTGCCAGATGCCGGCCACACTGGTAGGCTCACCGGACCCCACCTGCGCTGCTGACTCACTAAGATTCCCCTCCTGATGGGTTAGACTCCTTGCCCCAGGAGGAGCAGACAGAGCATGGGCTGTGAAGGCAGGCTGGGACCCAAATCCAGGACCCACTGCAGACAAGCTGTTCCTTCATCTGTAAACTGGGTTCAGTGGCATGTAGCCCACAGGTGGGGACATTAGGAAGATTTAACAAGGGAGTCCGAGTAAGAGCTGTGGAGCAGTGCGCCACATAGCAGGCCATCCCTAAGTGTGCTGTCCTTTCCTCCTAACTTGCCCAATGCTAGCAACTCAGACGTGAGGCTCCTTCAGAGGAGGACAAAAACATCCCCAGCTGAAACGCTGGATTCCTGCTTAACTGCATTTGAGAAACTAACGAAAGCTGAACCCCACAAAAACACCAGCAAGGCTATGAGAAAGGATTTTTGCCTCTGTCTCCTGGGCCGTCGTGACTTTTCTCTCTCAAAGCCTTCTTCTCCAACTCGAATCTCTCAATTGCCTTCAAAAACCAAAAAGAAAAGGGGCATTAAGGATTCATTAGATCTTGGAGGGGAATGGGGGTCAGAGACCAGGCCATTTCTCCTGTTGGTGTGCAAAAGGCCTGGAGAAAAGTCGGTGGCACATCTTGCTGTCTTCCCTGTAGGTGCTAGGGCCTCAGTGATCGTTGGTGTCACTGACCTCACCCCCGCAGTGTCACCACCAAAACACTCCCCCACCCCTGCCCTCTCTCACACTGCCCCTCCTCCTGGCTATGCCCCCTCTTATCTACACCTCTGAGGGGTACAGGATTTGGAATGGGGTTCCAATCAAGCTCCGCAGGTTAAAAGCTATTGTTCAGACTCTCTGTAGGGGGGCAATGATACCTACCTTCTCGGGTCCTTGTAAGGATCAGATATAAAGTGTTGAATGCATCTTAAAACTCTAGCACAGAGGCTACTATGAGCTGCTCAATAAAGGGTAATTATTATTATTATTAATCACCATACCCTTGACTTCTCAAGAGATTTCTCTTGATCTGACTCCCCCCCACCCCTAATCCCTTCTTGAGGAAAGACAAGGAAAAAAAAAATGAATGTCAGTGACCCAACAAGTTATACTGATTGTCAACCATAAGCCCAGCACTGTTCTTGGATAATAAAGTTAATGAAGAATTAGGACTCTGTGCTCTTGCCATTAGGAATTTACAATCTATTTGGACAGTCACATCAGCATACATGGGCCAATTAAGTCCCAAACTGCTGCGTTTGGGATTCGAACAAATGAGAGTAGTGTAAGTTGGAGCAGTCACAGAGGACTGCCTAGAAGAGGTGGGACATGAGTGTTGGGGGACATGATGAGGCATCTGTTTCACTTGATACACTGTGAAATGCCCCTCCAGCTTCCCATCGCCGTACCCGAAATCGGCATGTGTGCGGGTGTATGTAGATGGGGAAAGGGGTCACATTGGTAAGGCTGTCAACGCTGTTACTCCAAAAAAAGTAGTTCAAGAGAAAGCATGATGAATGAATTGGATGGATATACACCAATGTAGCAAACAGCAATGTCTCTGAGCCTTATCAGGATGCCACCGTGGCCAATATTGTGTGGGCCTTGGAAGGATGGACAAGATTTGCACACAGAGCAGGCAGGATAGATGAACACCGGAAGAAAAGCAAGTTTTAGGGGGAAATGAGAAGACCAGCATGGGGCTGTTTGCGTTTGCGATGACAGTAATACCTACAAGTGGGAAGTCAACTCCCAAACTTGGCTGATGACCAGCATGGCTGGGAAATTATTCAGACAGACCAGTTCATTAGAGAAGCTCATTCCTGACATCTGCCTTGGGTCATGAACTGTTTATTTACCAAGGCTCCTGAATAGTTCTCTATTTAAATTTTAAAAACAAGTAAGTGTTTTACAAGGTACAAAATCAAATAGTAGAGTCAAAAGTCTCCCGCCTAACCCCCCTGGCCCCCCAACACCCTTAGTTCTTGCATAGCCTTCCAGAGAAATCCTGTTCAAATGAGAGCGCACAAAACACATAGTCCTGTGTGATGCTCTTTTCACTTTTAGTTTTTGTTTGTTTTTTTAAAGATTTTATTTATTCATTTGAGACACGGAGATACAGAGACAGAGAGAGAGCATGAGCAGGGAGAGAGGCAGAGGGAGAGGGAGAAGCAGGCTCCTTGCTGAGCCAGGAGCCCGATGTGGGGCTCGATCCCAGGACCCTGGGATTATGACCTGAGCCAAAGGCAGACGCTTAACCGACTGAGCCACCCAGGCGCCCCACTTTTAGTCTTTTTTTTTTTTTAATTTTATTTATTTGAGAGAATGAGAGAGAGAGAGAGGGAGCATGAGTAGGGCGGAGGGCAGAGGAAGAAGGAGAAGCAGACTCCCCAGCTGAGCAGGGAGCCCAACGCAGGACTTGATCCCAGGACCCCAAGATCATGACCCGAGCTAAAGGCAGATGCTCAACCGACTGAGCCACCCAGGCACCCGTCACTTTTAGTTTTTAAAAACCTCCCAGGGGAGTCTGATGATCAGTTAGGTCTCAGTGTCATTGCTCCAGGTAGCTGGGAATATGAGGCTGAAGTACAGGAGAGAAGCTAGAATTTGCAACCATTATCATTCATTCCACAAATATTTCCTGAGCACCTGCTAAAGGCCAACGCCATGCCCATGTCAAGGATGCAGTGGTGAGCAGTGACTGCCATCCCTGCCTTCCAAGGGCTCGAGGATTAGTGGGGAGAAGCCAGTGATTATGAGGTGATGGGTGCTGCCGTGGGGAGGGACAGTAGGAGCACCTACGCTAGTCCTGGGGTGGAGGATGCGGGGAAGGCCTTTCCAGAGTAATGAGCTACAGGCAGAGAGCAGAAGGGAGGAAGGCTGGAAAGGAGAGCTAAGCAAGGTTCATGGCCAGAGATGAGGGAAACCCACACTTAGGGCATGGAAGAGGGAACAGAAATAGGACATGGTCATGTGGGATGCAGGGAGGAGGATCTGGGGCTTACTCATTTATTAGTATGCATCTATAAAGCACTTCCGCACCAGGTTCCGTGCTAGATGCCGGCCGGCAGGGCAGCATGGAGGCTGGAGAAACCAGTCTGGCCAAGGTGCTGACTCAGGAGAAGTGGTCACGCCTGGTGAATAAAGGGCAGGGTGAACTGTAGCCAACAGAGGTTGGGCAGGGTAGCCTGGGATGGGCTCCGGGGGCAGAAGGCAGACCTGACAGAGCTGACCAGCTACTTGGGCAGAGAACAGGAAGGACAGGCAAGGGGTCCCTTCCTCCAGGTCATAGGAGGACCCAAGGTTGCTCGGGCCAGTCCCTTCCTGGTTCTGACTAGCAACAGAGAGCACCTGAGGAGATATGCCAAGGCTGGGCAATCTTGAAAAGCCACCGGATCCTGCTTCTGGGAGCAAAATATTCTCTTTCCTGCTTTTTAAAATTATCATTAAAAAAACCCCAAAAAACACAGAATTGACATACAAATACATTTCTGTTGTAAAATACCCAAACACCACAGAAGTATTTAGAGTAAAAAACGGTTTTACTTGCCTTCCATCCCACCCCCCTTTCCAGAACTGACCCCATTGACTGTGTGTATCCTTCCAGACTTTTCTCCTACACGTTTGTACATATAGAATGTCCCTCCTGTGAGCCAGGCACTCTTCTCTGCCCTGATTTAAGGGTCTTTGTGAGTTTTAACTCCTCTAGTTCTTGCAACAGCCCCGTGAGGGAGATACTTTATGACTGTTATCCTCATTTTCTAGAAAAGAGATTCACAAAGGTTAAATAATTTGCCTAATGTCACAAGGCGAGAAAACAACAGAGCAGGAATTTAAAGCTGGACAACCTCATTCTGGATCCTGTGCCTCTAGGGCTCTGCTCTCTCCCACAGATACGTCACAGGTTGCTTAATGTCCATGCAATCACGCAGATACGCGCACACGCACACAAAAGGTTGCTTAATGTCCATGCAATCACTCCAAATAGCGTGTGTGTGTGTGTGTGTGTGTGTGTTTTGCCTTTAGTCACAATTCAATTGCTGGGGGAGGGCGACTGAAACTAGTGGTCTCATTGCTGCAGGAGTAAACAACAGCTTAACCTCTGTGAAAGACAATTTGACTATTTACCAAAATCTGAAATTTCAATTCTAGGACTCTCCCTGCAGAAATACTTGCAAATGAACCCCAAGATACATATACAGAAATATTCACACGTTCACTCTGATGAAAATACCACGCAAATATTTAGCAAAATGGAATAGTTGAATTAATTATGCCACATCCCACGTATAGAATATCATGCAGCCACAAAAAGAATGGGGCAGGTCAACAGTACTGACTTTGAAGAATCTCCAAGAGATATTTATGCTAAAAGTAACTAAAAGTAAATGAATAAGAAAAAAAAAAACCAAAGCAGGTTAAAAAACAGTATTTATGGTATGACCCTACTCACATTAAAAAAAGAAAACAATAACCCTAAATATATGTGTTCTACATTTTTAAATGTATAAAAAAACTTCTGGAAGGATACATACCAAACAATTAATTATGGTCACCTCTAAGGAGGAAAATAGGGCTGGGAGTGAAATGACTTTCACAGTTTACTTATATACTCGTAGATGGTTTGAGTTATTTATTTATCTATTTATTTGTTCAAAAAGTATTTATTTTTGGGGGGTGCCTGGGTGGCTCAGTCGTTAAGCGTCTGCCTTCGGCTCAGGTCATGATCCCAGGGTCCTGGGATCGAGCCCCGCATCGGGCTCCCTGCTCAGCGGGAAGCCTGCTTCTCCCTCTCCCACTCCCCCTGCTTGTGTTCCCTCTCTCGCTGTATCTCTCTGTGTCAAATAAACAAATAAAAATCTTTAAAAATAAATAAATAAAAATTATTTTTTATTTTTTAGAGAAAGAGAGTGTGTGAGCAGGGGGTAGGGGTGCAGGAAGAGGGAGAGAGAGAGAATCCCAAACAGACTCCACGCTGAGAGCCAAGCTTAATGTGGGGCTCGATCACACGACCCTGAGATCATGACCTGGACCTTGGACATTCAACCAAGTGAGCCATCCAGGAGCCCCAGTTTGAGTATTTTAGAATAAACATACATCCCTTGCCATTTAAATTAAAACAAAACAAAAAGATGGACTCAAGAGATGAACTGACCCCTAAAGTCAGCGCTAGAAAAGTTGGGGGAGAGGGTGAAGCTGAAACCTGTGGAGACAATCACCAGCTCAGAGCCCCAGGGACAGAGGGACTTGGTGGAAAGCAAGCTGCCAAGGGGGGTGGGGTTAGGAGCTTTAATCGGAGTGAACTGGCAGAAAATATTTGCAAAAGACACATCTGGTAAAGGGCTGTTCCCCAAAATATGCAAACAATTCTTAAAACCCACCCATAAGAAAACAAACAACTCAATCAAAAAATGGGGCAAAGACTTGCACCCCCACCTAAGAAGATTGACAGATGGTAAGCAGGCATATGAAAAGATGTTCAATAGCACATGTCATTAGAGAATTGCAAATTCAAACAACAAGGAGATATCGCTATATACTGATTAGAATGGTGAAGATCCAGCCTGCAGACAACACCAAATGCTGGTGAGGATGGGGAGCAACAGGAGCTCTTATTTGTGGCTGCTGGGAATGCAAAGTGGTACAGCCACTTTGGGAGACAGTTTGGTGGTTTCCTACAAAACTCAACATACTCTTACCAGATGGTCCGGGAATCACGCTCCTCATTATTTACCCAAATGAACTGAAAATATATGTCCACACAAAACCCTGCACATAGATGTTCACAGCAGCCTTGGGTGTAATTGCCAAAACTTGGAAGCAAACAAGAGGTGAACAGGTAAATAAACTGTGGTGCATCCAGAGAAAGGAATATTATTCAGTGCCAAAAAGAAATGAGCTATCAAGCCATGAAAAGATATGGCGGAACCTTAAATGCCTATTACTAAGTGAAAGAAGCCAGAGTACTGTAGGGTTCTAACTCTAGGTCATTCTGAAAAGGTAAAACTATGGAGAGAGCAGAAAGTTCAGGTGTGGTGAGGAGTCGGCGGGGGTGAAGAGGAGGAGCACAGAGGATTTTTAGGGCAGTGAGACTCTTCTGTACGATACTACAAAGGTGAATATATGTCATTACACATTTCTCCCCACAGAATGTACAGCACCAAGAGAGAACCCTAATGTAAATGACAACTTTGGGGTGATAATGATGTGTCCATGCAGGTTCATCAATTGTAACAAATGTACCACTGTGGTGATGGGGATCTTGCCCATGCGTTGGGACAGGGGTATATGGGAACTCTGTACTTTCAGCTCAATTTTGCTGTGGACCTAAAACTCCTCCAAAAAAATTAAGTTTGCTAAGTAATAAAATATCTTTGAGATCTCTATTGTGCAAATGTGCTTTCAAATAAATGGGGGAGCCCCCAGAGCCCTTCCTGCCGGGAAGCCTCGTCTCAGCACCCATAACTCACCAGGCTGTTGGCCAACAGGCTGGGACTCAGATCGAGCTCAGCAATCCTTTGGTTCACCCGGTGTATGGAGCCAATAAGGCAGCCTGGGAGGGGGGTCTGCTAAGGAAACACTCTGGGTACTGATCACACAGGCATGGGGCAGGCTAGCCTAGCTCACTCTCTTTCTGAGCTGTCTCTCTACTTAACTATTTTCTTTACAAACATTCACACTTCTTTTAGCGTTTTAAAGGAGTTGCTTTATGAATTCTAGATGAAAATTAACCATATCCTAGACACCTTAGAAAATATAAAAGGAATCATCCATTAGGCTACCACACTAACAACTTCTGTTAGGATTTGGGGAGATTTCCTTCCAGTATTTTTTATATACATACCTTTTTACATAATTATCGTCTCAGTGAATGCCTACTTTAGGACTCTGACTTCTCTTCCACTCGTTACTATGATCATTTTCCATAAAGCTAAATAATCCTAATAATATTTTATATATTTATATTTTTTTAAAGACTGTATTTATTTATTTGACAGAGAGACACACGAGAGAGGGAACACAAGCAGGGGGAGTAGGAGAGGGAGAAGCAGGCCTCCCGCCCAGCAGGGAGCCCAATGCGGGGCTTGATCCCAGGACCCTGGGATCATGACCTGAGCCAAAGGCAGACACTTAACTACTGAGCCACCCAGGTGCCCCAATCCTTGTAATATTTTAAATGGCATTATGAATCCATTTAGAGAATGCACCTTAACGCACTTAATTGTTCATGGCTATTGAATATTTAAGTTGTTCATAATTTCTTACAATTAAAAATAATGCCGTGATGCACATAGAGAGCTGTTTCTGTATTTTGGATTATTCCTTCAAGGGAGATTTTCAGGTGAGGGATGACTGGGTCAGAGGGTATCTTGACCTTGTTTATCACTGTTGAAATCTCTGCTCGGCTCAAGGGCCCCTCTTGTTACCCTCTCTGTGCTTGCGTTTCTTTCTGTCTTGGCCTCAATTGGTCTAGGATATATCTTCTATAGAAGCCCCATAATCCTATCACTCCTCACTGCCTCCACATAAAGCAGGGTTCACTCTTATTTCCATTACCCTCAAGGGTTCTTACAGATGGAGGATACTTGACAAATGAAGATGCCAAGGAGGGACATGACAAATCACAGGAAGTGAAATGGGTTAGTTAGGTTGAGATGAGTGAGGGATTAAGAAGAAAGAGGGGACATTAGAAAAAGGCCTGGGAAAGTGAGTCCCTGAAGCAGACCCTGATGGGATCGCTTGTGCTCATCTCGAGAGGGGTCCCTGAGAGGTGCAGAAGGAGAGGGGATGTAGAGGGACACATGCAGCAGCAGGACTCGAAGGTCAATGAGCTCTTGATGAGATGAGACGACCTGGGGTTATTTATAACCCGAGAGGGTTATTTGCCGGATGAGCTCTAAGGTCCTCCAGAGATGGGCTTCTGAGGGTCCCTGGCAGAGAGTGCAGAGTCAGAAGTGAGATGTGGATCAATGAAAGCAGGGCTAGAGAAGTCAGATGCTGGAAGAGCCTGGGGCGGGGGCGGGGGCGGGGGCGGGGTGGGGGGATGCCAGAAAGGGCAAACTCGGAGCCCAAGCAGAAGGTGGGGCAGGTGATGAGGCGAGGTCAACTGGAGTGAGAACACCAACAACAAAGTTGGGTCTTCAGCTCACCTATCTGGGGGCAGAGGGCTACACCGGGACTTCTTAGTTGCTATCTATAATTCTTTGGAAGACAGAAGAGAAAGAATGAGACGATGGAAAAAAAAAAAAAGAGCTTTTTTTTTTCATCTTCTTCCCCATTCTTTCAACAAATGTTTCCCTGTACTTCTTCCTCTGGGGCCCTGATTATCCTAGAAAAATAAACTCAAATCAAACAATCCGTCACAGTCTCACAGGTTCTTTTAGAGGATAGGTAGGGCTTAACGAACTGAAAAAACTTAATGAGCACAGAAGGAAAGGAGCTGATCGTGCGAGTCACAGACGCAGGCGCTGGTTACCCCTCTGTGGCAGGTGCATTTGGCCTGGATTGTAGACGGCACCAAAGAAGGATACAGGGTGGGTTGTCCTCCAGACTCTTCCTCAGGGCATTTTTCACCGCATCCCGTGTCCCGAGGGAGACGGTCAGGTGCTCATCCACGGGCACCACTGGCAAGGCAGTGACATTGATGACATCCATGTTCCTGAAATAAGCCATTGTCCAGTTTCTTGTAAAAGGACAAAACAGTAAGTTTCCACTTAAGAGCCTCCCATTTCCTACTCCAATCTTGTTCTCTGTTCCACCAGCCTCCTGGAAATCACAGATAACATAGAACGTCTTAGAAAACACAACCACGGGGTGCCTGGGTGGCTCAGTCGTTAAGCGTCTGCCTTCGGCTCAGGTCCTGATCCCAGGGTTCTGGGGTCGAGCCCTGCATCGGGCTCCCTGCTCAGCGGGGAGCCTGCTTCTCCCTCTCCCACTCCCCCTGCTTGTGTTCCTTCTCTCGCTGTGTCTCTGTCAAATAAATAAATAAAATCTTTAAAAAAAAAAAAAAAAGAAAAGAAAAGAAAACACAACCACGTTCACCTGGTAAAGCGGGGCTGATGGCAAGGCACCTGCTGCGTGCCCCATGGGGAACGGAGGCCATCGTCTGACAAGCCCTTCTGAGGGATTTCAGACATATACACTTTTCCTTTCCTGTTGATGCTCCCCCTGCCCCGCCCTGTTTCCCATGAAAATTGTTCTAGTTTTTAAAATAAGGAGACGAGAGTGATGAAAAGGCCAGGGCTCCAGGCCGCCCAGCAAACCAGTTTCCAAGTTAGAAAGGAAACCAAATCCCCATCTCTCTGAGACTCATCTGCCAAGTCAGAGATCTGGATTAGATTCCTAACACCCTTTTCAGCTCTCAGATGCTAGGACTCTGCGACTCTGGGTCTATCTCCTCAGCATGAGGCTCCTGATCTACCTGAGGCTTCCTGCTCCCTCCCAGAAAACTGGCCTCCTTACTCCTCTTCCTCCTGGCTTCGGAACACTCTGGCTGGACTGCTCTCCATGGGTCCTTGCTTATTGGCCAGGAGTTCATACTACCATCTGTGGCTCTTCCAGGGATGGAGCCCGGGGGCACAGGCCTGGTTCTAATGAAGTAAGACTCAGATCGGCCCTCAATAAGCTCATATGTAATGGAAGGAGAGGGAAAAGGTAGTTTAGGGGGAAAATTACTCCAGGAGCTCACCACATTGTCTTTTCCTCTCCTTGTGCTCGTGCTTTCTGCTCTGGCTCTTCTCCCCGGCCATACATCCTGTAGGCCTGCCCGCCTGAACTTCCTCCTGGTCCTTGCTCTGCTATGCTCTCGGTGCCTCTATGCCTTTTCACATGCTGTTCCCTCTATTCCACGCTCATCCCACGTGATATATCTTTTGGGGAAAACCTTCTTTTATAAACAGGTTTTTGTTTTTAAGTAGGTACCACGTCTAGCATGGAACCCAACCCAGGGCTTGAACTCGGGCCCCTGAGATCAAGACCTCAGCTGAGATCAAGAGTCAGATGCTTAACCAACTGAGCCACCCGGACACCCCTCTTTTGGAAAACCTTTTTTTTTTTTTAATATTTTATTTATTTATTTGACAGAGAAGAGACAGAGAGAGAGGGAACACAAGCAGAGGGAGTGGGAGAGGGAGAAGCATGCTTCCCGCAGAGCAGGGAGCCCGATGCGGGGCTCGTATCCGGGACTCCGGGATCATGACCTGAGCCGAAGGCAGACGCTTAACCGACTGAGCCACCCAGGCGCCCCTGGAAAACCTTCTTGAATTACTCCAGGCCGTTAGTTACTGCCCCTCCCCTGGGAAGTTCGGGATTCTGCTTTCATCTCTCCCATTACTGCACTTATAATTCTGAACTGGAATTATTTGCTTCCACATCTTTCTCCATTAGGCAAGTTAATTCGCAGGGATTAGGTACACTCACTAATATTTGATTCCATCTTAGACTCACTCACCGTACTTCTTTCTAGTCCGAAGAAGCTTGGGGCTGTCCCAAGTCAGCTGGATTGCAGGAAAGGCTGTCCCAGGCCCAGGTCAGTACTATTTCCTCCTTCTAGCTCCTAGCCTTTCGCTATGTAGGCAAGGGGGAGAGGGTAAGGAGGAGGCAGGTGCATTGCAGGGCTTCTCACTTTCCTCTCACCCACTCCCCAGCATGACTATGGCATGTTCTCTGAGAAGCAGGCTTACGGCGACTCTGTCAAGAAGCCTCTTTTTCTTTTTTTTTAAAGATTTTTATTTATTTATTTGACAGAGAGAGACATAGAGAGAGAGGGAACACAAGCAGAGGGATCGAGAGAAGGAGAAGCAGGCTTCCCGCCGAGCAGGGAGCCCGAGGACCCTGGGACCATGACCTGAGCCGAAGGCAGACGCTTAATGACTGAGCCACCCAGGCGCCCCTGTCAAGAAGCCTCTTGCTTTAGCTTAACATTCTTACTCATGCCGAATGGAAGAATTGGCTATTATTATGGTTCTTAAAAGAAATGTTTAAAATACACACTCTGTTCTCTTTGGAATTTTTCATCATACCCTTTTAGGTATTCTCTGAAACATGATAAGCCTTTACCGTCACTCCTTGGGGAGGGAAAAAGGATGGGGGACAAAACGAACTTCACTGACTATCTACCCTGTGGGCCTCACTGTGCTGTGTTGGGGGCAGACAAGTGGAAGAATAACAAACATTCCGCCCTCGTGTTGCACATATTCTGACACCTGGGATTTGAATGTCCCCTGTTTAAAGTTAACACGTCAAACAATTTTAATGTTTAAATAAGTTAAAACGATGCTGATTTTGGAATCAGACTTTTGTTCAGTTTAAACTTCAGCCACTCAATGACGATTTACTGAGTGCCCAACACAAGCCAGCAGTGTGCTCTTACTGGGGACAGGGTGGTGAGCTAAGCCAGACTTGATCCCTTCCTTAATGGAGCTTATGTCTACCAGGGGAGACATGCAATAATCAAATGACTATATAAATAATTGTGAATTATAACTACAACCAGTGCTTTGAAGGGAAGGATGCAGTACTGTGAGATAAGCTGATATTAGGTATGGATCTAGTCAAGGTTTGAAGGAAGAGCAGGAGTTAACTAGATAAAGGGGGATGGGGGAAATACCATCCAAGAAGAGGGGAGCGAGTGTAGACAGGTCGGAAAAGGCTAGATCTGTGTGTCACAGTAGCCACTAACCACATGTGAAATTGAGCCCTTGGAATCTGGTTAGTGTGCCTGAAGAACTGAAATTTTAATTTTAATTAATTTAAACTTAAAAACTGAAGCAGTTGATTATGTTGAAATCATTATATGTTAACACTGATTATATGTTGAAGTGATAATATTTGGGACATATGAGTTAAATAAAAGGCTCAAATTAATATAACCTTATTTTTTTTTAATCTTTAAAATATGGCTACTAGAAAATTCTAAATGACACATGTGGCCCCTGTATGTTTCCATTGGATGGTGCTGGGTTAGACCGTGCAGTTTGGTTCTAGGACATAGAATTCTCCCCTTTTCAATGCACTGAGGTGTAGTTGGAAGAAAATTGCACTTGCAGCCAGAGACCCATGGGATCAGGCTCTCATTGGATGGACGACCTGGTGCACTCACTAGGCACCCAATAAACATCCCTTGAATGGCTCTGAGTTTCTTATTTTTTCAAATGGAACCAATAATACACAGTCAGGACTTCAGGAGATCTGGCGTTGATCCTAGAGTAGTTCCCTGCCCTTGCTCACTGTGCCACTTGAAGTGGTCCCTGGGCCTCAGTTTCTCCTGCTTGTAAAAGCCGATCAGTGTCGGGACGTGGGGAGGTGGCAGTGTGCGGAAGAGGGCAGGGAGGGTCGTCGTCTGTCTGTACGTCTTACCTGAAGACACAGGCGGAATCTGACGAACTTGGGGCCGTCTCCGCCACGGGTCCTTCAGCGGACCCCGCAAAGTCCTGGATGGGACATCCGACACCTGTTGCCCCCACATGCACCAGGAAGGGGTGCCCTTTGCTTTGTGGTCGGGGAGGAGGAAGAAGAGGAGGAGGGGCGTCGGGGAGAGGCCCATTTTGCTACTGTGAGTCCTGGCGTTCTCAAGGCAACGCCAGGCGCTGTCACCACTTCCACCTTTCCCACAACAATGGAACCGTGGTGAGCCACCGCGGCGCCCGCGAGACGCCGTTACCACGGTGACGGCCCCAGGTGGCTGTGGAGACCAGACCAATGGGTTTGTGGTTCCTCTTCCCAGTCTATAGCACGGGGAACGTAAGTGACTCCAGGAGACATCCCCTCCGGAGTCTCTTTGATATACCGAGGGCAGTCCTCAAGCGTTTCTGGTGCCTCGCGTAGGCTCCCGTTGTGCACCCCACCGCGCCGGGCACCCCCCCCGCCTCCCGCGATGGTAGAGTCCGGGGCGGGGTTGCGCATGCGCACAAGGCGGAGGGGGCGGAGCCGCGCCGGAGCCGTGGTCGAGGCGGGTGACGCGGGCCCCTGCAGGCGGTTTCCGGCAAGTATTGGTGCGCGTTTGGACCCGGGCTTCTGGGATGCGCTAGGGCTAAGCACAGCGTCGCCCCAGGGCCGGAGGAGGGGTGGGACGCGCGGGCGTTTCCCAGGGGACCCAGGGCTTCCCAGCCGCTGGAGCGGCCCGAGGGCGCGGGACAGGGGGCGGAGGCTGGGTTCACCCCAGGCCCGTCACCGCCCTTCTCGCCTCGATCATAAACTGGGCTGGTAATTCCTCCGGGTAAATCGGCTGCGAAGAGGCTTAAAGGCGTGCGTGTGAACGTCTGTTCTCTAGCGTTAGTTGAGTCCAGCGGCCCGGGGTGGCAGCGTATCTGCGCGGCACGTACTGGGCTAGCTCTGAACTCTTTTGAGAATCCAGGGAAAGCCAAAAACTACTCCCTCACCTTCTTGTTAGATTAAAACAGGATAATGTATTTTATGGCCCATTGCAAACTGTAAGGCACTGCGCAGTGAGGAAGTGATTATTACCAGCGCAGAGGAGTAGACCTTATTGGAAGCCCAATTCCACTACCTTCCCACCGTGTGACTGGGGACAAGTTACTTAACTTTTTTTTTTTAAGATTTTATTTATTTATTTGAGAGAGAGAGAATGAGAGACAGAGAGCATGAGAGGGAGGAGGGTCAGAGGGAGAAGCAGACTCCCTGCCGAGCAGGGAGCCTGATGCGGGACTCGATCCCGGGACTCCAGGATCATGACCTGAGCCGAAGGCAGTCGCTCAACCAGCTGAGCCACCCAGGCGCCCCGTTACTTAACTTTTTTAAGCCTCAGTTGTCTGATCTGTTGCCTGGGACATACTTACCTCGATCTATTTCTCAGGGTTGTTGCGAGCATCAAATGCCACCGATTTTTATAAACACTATAATAACCTGTAAGTGGGTAGTGTTGTTATCCCAGTTTATAAATCAGCCTGAGGCCCAGAGAAGATAAGTTCTGGGGTCCCAGTGGGGCTGCGCGGCAGAGCCATGATTGGAACCCAGATGCTCTCCCTTCTCTTTCTTAGAACTGAGCCCTCTCTCTCCAGGGAGTTTCACTAGAGAGACAGCTGCCTTGGGCCAAGGGGCTCAGCTGGGGCCTCAGGGTCCACACTAATGTTCCAGCATCTTAGGGTCTCAGTCAAAGTTGTTTGTGGATTATTGGGTATGACTTAAAAGGCATCTCGTCCAGACACTTCCTTTTCCTCACCTGTAATATATTGATGATAGTTCTCTGCTTAAGGGTTATGAGAATTAATGAGGTCACAAGGGAAGCGCCCCTGTTAAAACCCTGAGAAAGAAAGTAATTTGGCCAGGGTTTAGCATGAAATTGAGGGGCAGAGCTAGACCTGGTACTTGGTCTGTTGTGTCCAAGTGATAGGCTTAGGCGTAGTACTCTTAGCACGATTGCAGGCTTTGCAAGAACAACTTGGCCAAGTATTTTTCCTTCTTCAGATGTCTCCAGGTTTTTGGAAGGGGAGGGGCTGCTTTTTAGTTGTTTTTTGTTCATTTGTTTTGTTTTTTGATAATTAACATATTATCATTGTAGTAATTTATTAAATCCAAAAGTATATTTCTTTTTGTTAATTTTTTAAATGACTTTATTTATTTGAGAGAGAGAGAGCACAAGCAGGGGGTCGACAGGCAGAGGAAGAAGCAGGCAGAGGGAGAAGCAGGCTCCCTGCTGAGCAAGGAGGCCAATGTGGGGCTTGATCCCAGGTCCTGGGAGGGTTCTGGGATCATGACCAGAACGGAAGGCAACTGCTTTACCGACTGAGCCACCCAGGCATCCCAGTATATTTCTTTTTTAAAAGAACGCTCGCACGAGTAGGGGGAGGGGCAGAGGGAGAAGCAGAGTCCCTGCTGAGCCAGGAGCCCGACATGGGGCTTGATCCCAGGACCCAGAGATCATGACCAGAGCCAAAGGCAACGGCTTAACTGACTGAGCCACCCAGGCGCCCCCAGAAGTATATTTATTTAATATAATTCGATATTTTAAAAAAATTTTCTTTTTAAAGATTTTATTTATTTATTTGAGACAGAGAGAGCACGAGCAAGGGGAGGAGCAGAGGGAGAGAGAGAAGCTGGCTCCCCGCTGAGCAGAGAGCCTGATGCGGGACTCCATCCCAGGACGCTGAGATCATGACCTGAGCCGAAGGCAGACGCTTCACTGACTGAGCCACCCAGGCGCCCAGTATAATTCAATATTATTATAGCATATGAAATTGCTACCACTTAACCACCACTTTTTACCTATAAAAAGATGATTTCACTAAAGCCACATCCTACTCCCCTTCCCACATTTAACCACAGTGAGCAGTTTGGTGTATCTTTCCAGATTTTTTTCTATTTTTAATGTACACACCTATATTCTTGCCTTTTTTTTTTCTTTCTGTCTTCTCTTATGGCATTATAGTATACACATTGTTCTGCATCTTGCTTTCTAAATGTTTAAAGTGTGTTGGAGGTCTTTCCAGGTCAGTCCATACACAGCTGCCTCATTGTTTTTACTTGTCCTGTTGCATTCTGTTATAATGTGCTACAGTGTATTTGGCTATACCAACCATTGGTAGACATTTTGGATTGTTTTTTATTTTTCTTTTTTTCTTTTTTTTTTTTTTTTCTAAGATTTTATTTATTTATTTGAGAGAGAGAGAATGAGAGAGAGCACATGAGAGGGGGGAGGGTCAGAGGGAGAAGCAGACTCCCCGCCGAGCAGGGAGCCCGATGTGGGACTCGATCCGGGACTCCAGGATCATGACCTGAGCCGAAGGCAGTCGCTTAACCAACTGAGCCACCCAGGCGCCCTGTTTTTTATTTTTCACTGTTACCAACAGTAGGGAACATATGTATGTACATGTCCAATTCTTTCTGGAGGATAAATTTTTAGATTTGGCGGCCAAAAAGTATGCACATTTATTTTATTTTTTTTAAAGATTTTATTTATTTATTTGACAGAGACACAGCAAGAGAGGGACACAAGCAGGGGGAGTGGGAGAGGGAGAAGCAGGCTTCCCGTGGAGCAGGGAGCCTGATGCAGGGCTCGATCCCAGGACCCTGGGATCATGACCTGAGCCGAAGGCAGACGCTTAATGACTGAGCCACCCAGGCGCCCCAAGTATGCACGTTTAAAATTTTGCTAGGTTTTGCCTAACTGGGAAAATTACAGTATCTTATGTTTCCACCTAAAGAAAACTAAAGTGTCTTTTTATCCACACCCTCACGAGCATTGTATATTATTCATCTTTTAAGTTTTGCCAATATGGTGGATGAGAATGCTTCTTTTTTATGATGTACCCCACTAGTTATTAATATGAGAGTAATTTGAGGGGCGCCTGGGTGGCTCAGTTGGTTAAGCGACTGCCTTCGGCTCAGGTCATGACCCTGGAGTTCCGGGATCGAGTCCCGCATCGGGCTCCCTGCTCAGCGGGGAGTCTGCTTCTCCCTCTGACCCTCCCCCCTCTCATGCTCTCTCTCTATCTCATTCTCTCTCAAATAAACAAATAAAATCTTTAAAAGAAAAAAAAAAAAGAACTTCTTTAATCAAAAAGAAGCCAATAAGAAAGCAGGAAGACAAGTCCCAGATTGGGAGATATTTTCAGTATTCTCTCTCTACAATAAAGGACTTACAGTCAGTATATAGAGAGAGCCATTACAAATCAATAAGAGAATGGTAGAAAGCCCAGTAGAAAAGTGGCAAAAGACTTGAACAAGCATGTCACAAAAGAGAGTATCTGAATGTCCGATGAGTATATGAAAAGGTGCTCCATTTAATTACTTATTGGGGAAAAGCAATTTAAGCACTCAATGCAGTACAACTACATAACTACCAGAATAGATAAAAGGAAAAAGATAGGAAATGCCCAAAGTTCAAAAGTTCATACACTGTTGGTAGGACATATAAATTGGCTCAACCACTTTGGAAAACCATTTAGCAGTATCTACTACAGCTGAATATATGAATACTCGACAACTCCACAATTCCACCCCCGGGTATAGAATCAGAGAAGTATACTTACGTGTACAGAAGTACATGTCCACATATGTTCTTAGCATTACTGTTTCTAATTGACAAAAACAAAACAATCCAAATGTCCACTTACTCAGAATATTTTACTGCAATGTGAATGAACAAACTCTAACTACACAGAACACAGACAAGTCTCACAAACATGATATCAAGTGAAAAAAAACAAACACAGAAGAAGACATAATGCATGAATCCCTGGATATAAAGCTGCTGGGCGAGGTAGGCAGGGTGATGAAATGTTCCATATCCTGATCTGGAGGGTGGCTACACAGGAGTCGGGGCGGTGTGTGTGTGTAGTAAAAATTCATGAAGCCATACATTTACAATCTGTATACTTTTCTGTGTTACACATAAATATACAAAAATATTTACCCCACCTCCCCATCCCCAAAAGGGGCAGTGTCAGTAAATCCTCTTCACTGGGCCTGTGTGAATTGCAGTAGGTTGCAATGTGCTGAAAGCAAATGTGCGGTGTTGTCAGCCCTGCCATGTGGTGGGCCTCCTCCTTCCACTGGACACCTCACCTGCCACACGGGACAGGTGGCCTTCTGACATAGGACTGAGTGAGGGACACCATTCTCATGGATTCTGTGGGGTGCCTGGATGGCTCAGTCATTAAGCGTCTGCCTTCAGCTCAGGTCATGGTCCCAGGGTCCTGGGATCGAGTCCCACATCGGGCTCCCTGCTCTGCAAGAAGCCTGCTTCTCCCTCTCCCACTCCCCCTGCGTGTGCTCCCTCTCTTGCTGTGTCTCTCTCTGTCAAATAAATAAAATCTTAAAAAAAATAAAAATAAAAAATGGAGTCTGTGCAGGGGCTCTTGCCCTACATGTGATTCTCACAAGCGTCCAGGAACGAGCAAGATTGCATTCCTTGTGCTAGACTGTAAATCTGGTCATGTCACCTCATGACAAAACTTGAAACAGGCAAGTTAGGCATTTGCCTGTGGTGACTAAACTGTAGAGCCCCACAGTCCTGCACTGAAATTCTAGTGACCACTTAGGACCTTAGTCTTTCTAAACCTCATCTGTTCAGTGGGGATAACAAGGGGAGTAAACAAAGCGTGGTTGTGAGAATTGAGGTGTTTCATGCAAGGGATTCATTGAGCATTCTCCCTAGTGAGCTCTCAACACATGTGCACCATCACCAGGATTGTTAAGAGCCACGTGGTAAGATATATGTTTTCATGATTTGAGGTTGGTGGCGTAAGGTCACTGACCCATCTGTTTGTATCTGTGACTTTTTCTGACAGTAGGAGAAGGGAGCATCAACCTTTCCTTCATCAGGTCCAAGATGCCTCTCTTTGGGAATACGTTCAGTCCCAAGAAGACGCCCCCTCGGAAGTCCGCTTCTCTCTCCAGCCTGCATAATGTGAGTATCACTGCTGGGGCCCATCCCAGTGTGCAGGGACTGGAGCATCAAGCCTGGTCTCTGAGGGAAAGTGTGGTTCTCCAGAGGCATCCTTGTAAGGAGGACATCCTTCTAATTCATATTATTGCTATTGCTAAAGACATTTTTAACTCCTGGGGCACCTGGCTGGCTCAGTCAGAAAAGCATGCAACTCTTGATCTTGCGGTCATGAGTTTGAGCCCCATGTTGGGTATAGAGATTACTTAAATAAGTAAACCTAAAAAAAATTTTTTTTTAAAGATTTTATTTATTTATTTGAGAGAGTGAGCAAGAGAGAGAGGGTACACAAGCAGGGGCAGAGGGAGAGGGAGAAGCAGACTGCCCTGCTGAGCAGGGAGCCTGAAGTGGGACTCGATCCCAGGACCCTGGGATCATGACCTGAGCTGAAGGCAGACGCTTAACCGACTGAGCCACCCAGGCACCCCCCACAAAAAAACATTTTTAACTCCTGTTTGGAAGTCATCATCAGAGCATGTTCAAGAACCTAGTAAGACAGTCAGTCGCAGGATGATTTTTGGCTCCAAATGGTACTATTTAGCTAGCTTTCACTTTATTCCCAAGACCTGGCCAGGAATTGATTTTAATTGTGTCTGAGAATCAAATTCCTTCTCAAAGGATGATGTTTTGCCACCATTAATGGCATCCAAGGGTGTGTTGGAGCTCCAGAGGCGGCTCCTAGAGCACAGGGCTGGTTGCGCTCATCCCGGAACGCCCAGTCCTAGGCCCGGTGCCCCGTGGCTGCTGAGTGAGTGGTAGAAACTCAAACCCATTACAGACCAGCTACAACGACGGATTGGGAGTTAGCATTTCACGCCTTTTCCATGACCTGTGGAGCTCCATGGTAAGCAACGGATAACGGAGGGGCTTATTACCTCTAAAAAGGATTTTCTACTTTATTAAAAATTTGTAGTAAGATTTCTTAAACTGGGGGCGCCTGGGTGGCTCAGTTGTTAAGCGTCTGCCTTCGGCTCAGGTCATGATCCCGGGGTCCTGGGATCGAGCCCCGCATCAGGCTCCCTGCTTGGTGGGAAGCCTGCTTCTCCCTCTCCCACTCCCCCTGCTTGTGTTCCCTCTCTCGCTGTGTCTCTCTCTGTCAAATAAATAAAATCTTAAAAAAAAAAAAAAAAAGATGTGAAGTGCCCAGCAGATGTCAAATAATTCACATTTCAGCATATATAGTTTTTTTGGAAAACATGTATAATAAAGTAGGAGGTTTCTTCTTATAGTGTAAAAGTTTTTGTTGTACCTTATTTGATTTTCTGACTTTGAACAAAAGTGAGAAAATGTGCTCGGTGATGATTAGAGGAAGGAAATGAGTTGCCGGGGTCACACAGTTAGTGGGACTGTCTCGTCCACAGCTGGATCGGTCAACCCGGGAGGTGGAGCTGGGCCTCGACTACGGAACCCCCACCATGAACCTGGCGGGACAAAGCCTGAAGTTTGAAAATGGCCAGTGGATAGCAGGTGGGCTGATCTCCTGCCGTGGTGTCCACGGAGAGCGTGGAAGCAAAAGCCCCCGTGTAACTGCCCATTCTGTCCTTCCCCCAGAGGTGGGGATTAGTGGCGGTGTGGACAGGAGGGAGGCCCAGCGCCTCCGCAGGCGGAACCAGCAGTTGGAGGAAGAGAACAATCTCTTGCGGCTAAAGGTGGACATCCTGCTGGACATGGTGAGGAGGGCAATGGGAAGGGACGCCTAGGCTTTTTTTTTTTTTTAAGATTTTATTTATTTATTTGAGAGACAGCAAGAGAGGGAACACAAGCAGGGGGAGCCGGAGAGGGAGAAACAGGCCTCCTGCTGAGCAGGGAGCCCAATGCGGGGCTTGATCCTAGGACCCTGGGATCATGACCTGAGCCGAAGGCAGACGCTTAACCACCTGAGCTACCCAGGCGTCCCTGCCTAGGCTTTTCTTGTGGGGAGGCTCCATCGCGAGTCATTCCATCCAAGCCCGGGTACGGTGCTTTGAATCTAAAGATCCAGATCAGACAGCGCCCCTGCTCTCAAGGGCTCACAGTCTAGCAGGGAGGTGGGCAGTAGGCACACACAGCGACAGGGCCTCATGGTGAGGGCAACAGTTGGAGTCTGCTTTGGGCCGGGTGTCAGCACAGGAAGGAGAACAAGTCATTCTGTCGAGTCAGGAGGCTGTCGGAGGAAGGGATACTTGAGCTGAATGTGGAAGGATAAAGGGAGGAATGGAGGATGGGATGAAGGCATTCCAGGAAGAAGGACCGTCTGCCCATGGCTTGGAGGTGTCCCTTATCACGCGGGCCCAGACCTGCTGAGGAGCACGCTCTGTGATGCTCTCGGTTCCTTGTGGCTGCGAAAGACCCAGCGGGCGGCTGGGCCTGGGGCTGCAGGTGAGAGGAGACTGGGACACAGGAGAGCCCTTGCTGTCACGCGTTCGGGAGCCAACCCGCCTGGTTCCTTGTGCAGTGCCGCCACTGGTTTTGTGACTTCAGCCAATTACTTCACGGCTCCGTGTGTCGAAACTTAGTGTCTTCATCAGTGAAATAGGCACCAATGTATGAGTATGATGCCTCATACTGAGTTAATAGTTCAAGTAAAGCACTTGGAATAGAGAATTGCTCAGAAGTGTAGCTTTTTCCCCCCGCAGTAAGCTGACCTCTACTTTGGAGAGTAAAGTTTCTGTCCCTGTCCTGAGTATCTTCCACTTTCTACTCTAAAGTCCATTGAAAGATCCTAATGAGGAAAGTGGCATTCTTTTTCAAGGATTTTTTCCCCTAATCACCATTATGTGAGCTACAGCTCAGAAACAATTCAGACCCTAATTCTTTAGCCTTAGGATGGCCCATTGTCTGCCTTTTTCATCCTGAGGCCTGCTGTCTTTAAGGAAGCGAGTGCCGAGCAATCCTAGGTGACCAGAATGTTGTGAGGGTGGATCGTGGCTGTTCTTTATGTACTGGAGGCCCTGGGGGTTCTCCAAGGGGTTCCCTCGGTGGAGGGCATCGGTGGTGTGAGAGAGAGGCTGGGGGGTCTTTCCCCAGTGCATGGAGCTGCCCTTGCGAACGTGACACAGCCCAGAAGGGTCCTGCTTTCTTTCTTTTTTTTAAAGATTTTATTTATTTATTTGACAGAGAGAGACACAGCAAGAGAGGGAGCACACGCAGGGGGAGTGGGAGAGGGAGAAGCAGGCTTCCCGCTGAGCAGGGAGCCAGATGCGGGGCTCGATCCCAGGACCCTGGGATCATGACCTGAGCCCAAGGCAGACGCTTAACGACTGAGCCACCCAGGCGCCCAGGGTCCTGCTTTCTTACAGTCCCCTGCCTTCATTTCAGCTGTCCGAGACCACCGCCGAGTCCCACTTAATGGAGAAGGAATTGGAGGAGCTGAAGAGCGTCAGCCGCAGGAGGAAATGAGCCCCTGAAGATACTCGTTAGGAGAAAAGGACATTCGTTAGGAGAAGTCCACCAACCAGAGGAGTGGGATGTGGCTGAGGGTGTTTTGTAGCCTAACTAGGGGATTAGGTACTGGGAGAGAGGGTCATATAATGGGGCGAAAGGCCCCCCTCAGGTTGGCAACAGGAAGGTACACCATTGCTGGCAGAAACCAGGACCCCGGGCCAGGGCGGTGAGCAGGAACGAGCCCTGGGGGGCTGCCAGTGGTCACTTCATGTACGAATGGTTCTTCCCAGGTTCCGCCTCGCTGGACTGATGCCGCTGGCTGAAGCAGCTGGACTTCATTGCCTCACCGCTCACGCTGGTGTTTGGGGTGTGGCAGGAGCACTTCTAAACAGCTCTGTGTTGGGGGCCTCCGATGAACAGCCCTCCTGGTTCTCTGCCCGCTCCCCCCCCCCCGGGCTACTCTCTCTGTCCTTTAAAGAATACTTGTTCGCCGAATCCACCCCCCTCTTCTGGCTTCAGCTTCTCAGTGGCGAGCCCCAGCCTTCCACGGCAACACTCTATTTTTGTGCTACTTTCCTGTTTAGTTTCTCAAAATTAAATGATGGTATATAATCTGTCTGTGGCCAAAGTGACTGAGAAATGAAAGTAGCAGTTCTTAAAGAAGTCAGTGGACCCTGGAGTCTAAGCTTCTGTTTGGCTGTCCAGAGACAGAGTTTTTAAGTTGTGGGGAAATGTCATCCCTGCAGGAGAAGCATTCCAGCTTCCTGGGCATCCGCCAAGGCTGACTGGAAACAGAACAGTCTCTCTGCCCACATTCCTCTGCTGTCCTTCAGAGATTTGGGACTAGCCTGGACCTGACAGGGACCGAGTCGTCGGGCAGTATTGTCGAGTGGTGGGGGTGGGGGGCTGCATTCCTAGAGAGGGAATTTGCGCCTAAGTCTGTGTGAGCCAAGCTGCTGTGGCTGGAGGAGGGAGTCAGTAAGAGGGAACCCAGCTCCCAAAGTTAAGGGGGAGGGCACTGAGATGGGGACAGAGCCCAGAGCTTTAGCCTGGTGATGGCTACGATGGTCAGCAGTTTCTGAAAGCCTGTAACTTGTGTGGAACAGACCTCAGCACCTTGCCCTCCTACTCTTGTCTCCCGCAGCTTAGCCCTGTGAATGGGGGACTGGCAGCAGGTGTCCTCAGAGGTAAGGAACCAGGTTCCAGGAAGTTCAGAAGCGCGTCCAGGATCATACAGAAGTGTGAGAGTCTGCTGACTCCCAGCTCCTGGTGAAAGGGAGGAGCTGGTAGGGAACAGCCTCTAATGGACCAGCTCTAGGGGAGATGGATAGAGGCTCCACCTCATAAGCTCACCTTCTGATATAGGAGAGAAGAACTCAGAAGAAATTGGAGGATACAAATGTAAACAGGATGTAAATGCTCCAGCTAATGGCAGCAGTTGAGAGTTGGCTTATTCCTGGCCCCACATCAGGAGCAACCATTTATTGAGTGCCTTCGATGCCAGACACCTATTGTTGAATCTCATAGAATTCAGGTTTGTTATCGTCCCCTGCTTTTAGATGAAGAAACGAGCTCCCTCAAGGTGACACAACTGGAAGGGGTGGAGCCTGGACCAAAACCCTGGGAATCATGAGGGGCAGGTTTGGTTGTCACAGTGATGTGGGTCCCTGCATCACCCTGCCACCAGAGAGCCCTGGAGCCATTACGTGGGACAGTTCTGCAGTAAAGAAGGACTTCTATTTTGAGTGATAAGGGAAATAAGCTGTCGGTGAGTTTGAGCAGAGGAGTGCTATGATCAATTTTTTTTAAAGATTTATTTATTTTAGAGAGTGTACAGCAGGGAGGGGCAGAGGGAGAGGGGAGAGAACCTCCAGCAGACTCCCAATGCAGGACTCGATCTCATGACCCTGAGATCATTACTTGGGCTGAAATCAAGAATCAGAGGCTCAGGGCGCCTGGGTGGCTCAGTCGTTAAGCGTCTGCCTTCGGCTCGGGTCATGATCCCAGGGTCCTGGGATCGAGCCCCGCATCGGGCTCCCTGCTCTGCGGGAAGCCTGCTTCTCCCTCTCCCACTCTCCCTGCTTGTGTTCCCTCTCTCGCTGTGTCTCTCTGTCAAATAAACAAATAAAATCTTTAAAGAAAAAAAAAAGAATCAGAGGCTCAAGTGACAACCATCCAGGTGCCCCGATCAATTTGTGTTTGCTGATGGATATGAGGAAAAGAGGAAGGTGGCTACATCTCACCACCACAACCTTTGTGTTTTTCCCGGGGAGATGCTATCTACTTTCAAGTTCTTTTTTTTTTTTTAAAGATTTTATATATTTGACAGAGACAGAGCAAGAGAGGGAACACAAGCAGGGGGAGTGGGAGAGGGAGAAGCAGGCTTCCCACAGAGCAGGGAGCCCGATGTAGGGCTCGATCCAAGGACCCTGGGATCATGATCTGAGCGGAAGGCAGATGCTTAACAACTGAGCCACCCAGGCACCCCTACTTTCAAGTTCTTACCTTTCTAGTCAGATACATCCTTCAGGTTCTGGTTAAAATTCTTCCTCCTTCAAAGACTTTATGAGCCAAATCTGCTACAGATGGGCCACCCAAGTAAATAGTGCTATCTAATTGACGTTATCTCTTGTGAACTACAACAATTTTGGGAATTTCTGCACTGCGGGTCAAGTTACGGGGCACTGTTATGGTGGAGCTGCACGGAAGCTCTGGGGGCGTCAGGGAGGGAGTCCTACAGGCCTCGCAAGGGGATCCACCTGCACAATTGTGCAGATACAGGCTAATGTGTGTTTTTTATGGGAGGGGCTTACAGCTTTTCTAAGATTGTCAAAGGGATCTGTGCCTGCCCACTGACCCATATCAAGAACTGCTGTATCACCAATTTCAAATTCTGACAGGACAGAAACAGGAAAGGTGAAATCATGGACACGTGGGATGGGTAGGAGAAGAGCCAGAGGCTGGGGTTCCAGAACACCCCATCTCCATCCAAATGGCAAAGTTAGCTGTGCACCTGCCTGGGGCATCCAAACTCACTTGTTAGCACCTTTATTTGTCTCCTTACCCTTCCACAGTGCCTCCTGGCCGGGCATCATTCTTTTTTTTTTTTTAAAGATTTTATTTATTTATTTGAGAGAGAGAGAACACATGAGAGGGGATAGGGTCAGAGGACGAAGCAGACTCCCTGCCGAGCAGGGAGCCCGATGTGGGACTCGATCCCGGGACTCCAGGATCACGACCCGAGCCGAAGGCAGTCGCTTAACCAACTGAGCCACCCAGGCGCCCCCGGGCATCATTCTTGCCTTGCGTCTTCTCTGCTGCCTCTCGGCATTTCTCCTTGAAACCTTCAGTGAAGCCACTCTTCTCCAATTTCCTTTCTTCCTCTCCAGCAGCTCCTCCTTGAACCTCTTGAGGCTCCTCTTCCCCCCTCTTTTCCCCCAGTGGTTTCCATTTTCTATTTGTTTTTAATTTAAATTTTTTTTCTATCGTGGCAGAATACACATGACATAAAATTTACCATCTTCACCATTTATAATTAGTTCAGTGGTACCAAATACATTCATAATGATGTGCACCCATCACCACCATCCATCTCCAGATGCTTCAACTTGTAAAGTTGAAACTCTGTACATCCCCATTTTGTAACCAAACCCAAGTTCAAGTGCCCAATGCGCAGTAAAGCTGATCACTGAAACAGACCTCAAGGGTGCAGCAAGGCAAGAGTTTATTCTTGCAGCCAAATGAGGAGCCGGGAAGACAAGCCTCAAGTTCGCCTCCCTGAAGCAGGAGAGCCAGGGATTTTTAACAAGTGGAAAAGGGTCTGAGTAAAGGGGAGAGGAGTTACGTGACTCAAAATTAGATAAAGGAAGTTATGAAGTAAGGGAGGGTTAACTGCATTTTGTTGGGCTCTAAGGGGAGGGAGGTCAGTGTCCTGACCGGTTCCAGTTGGCTTCAGGAGGAAACCTTGAGTTCCTGCAAAACAATTAAATGAACACTTAGCATCTCTCCCAAGGCTTTTAATACTCTGTACTGCATGATTCTCCCCCCTTTTTTTATCCCTCCTCAGTGATAGAATTATTGAAAGTTCTTTTATTCTTTTTTTTTTTTAGGATTTTATTTATTTATTTGACAGAGAGAGACACAGTGAGAGAGGGAACACAAGCAGGGGGAGCGGGGGAGGGAGAAGCAGGCTTCCCGCTGAGCAGGGAGCCCGACGTGGGGCTCGATCCCAGGACCCTGGGATCATGACCTGAGCCGAAGGCAGACGCTTAACGACTGAGCCACCCAGGCGCCCTGCTCCTTACCAAATATTATCCCCTCTGAGGTATTCAAAGGGAATCACTAATCCACACCATAGATTGGTTTTGCCGGTTTTTGAACTTTATGTAATGGAATAATACAGTAAGCACCGTTTTGAGACATAAAAACTTTTTTTTTTTTTTTTTTAAGATTTTATTTATTTGTCAGAGAGAGAGAGAGCACAAGTGTATACAAGCAAGGGGAGCAGCGGGCAGAGGGAGAAGCGGTCTCCCTGCTGTGCAGGAAGCCAGATGCGGGACTTGATCCCAGGACCCTGGGATCATGACCTGAGCCAAAGGCAGCCGCGCAACCAACTGAGCCATCCAGGCGTCCCAACATAAAAACTTTCTATGGTCAGTGCTGCCCTGTTTGGAGCTGAAAAGGACCAAGGACTGCTATAGGAGTAAGTGCAAACATACCTGCCCCTCCTTATGTAAGCACAGGATGAAGGACATGGTCCTGCATCAGATAGAGACGTGGACTGTTCAGCCCTGAGATTCTCTGATTCCATGGTCAGCTGGCCAAAGTGTTTATCAAATAACCCTTGTATTAACTTGTGTGAGGGGCACCTGGGTGGCTCAGTCGGTTGGGCGTCTGTCTTCCGCTCAGGTCATGATCTCAGGGTCCTGGGATCGAGCCCGGCATAGGGCTCCCTGCTCTGCGGAAGCCTGCTTCTCCCTCTCCTGCTCCCCCTGCTTGTGTTCCCTCTCTCGCTGTGTCTCTCTCTGTCAAATAAATAAACAAAATCTTAAAAAAAAAGATCTCAGGGTCCTGGGGTAGAGGCCTGTGATGTGCTCCCCGCTCAGCAAGGAGCCTGCTTCTCCCTCTCCCTCTGCCCCCACCCCTACTTGTGCACGCTCTCTCTCAAATAAATAAAATAAAAAAAGAACTTGTGTGGCACATTATAAAAAGAAGCATTTAATCCATCAAGGCAAAAAATTAAAATATGGATAATACCTAATGCTGGGGACAGTGTGGGGAAAAGGACACTTCCATTTACAATTATTAAAGTATATGATATAATTTCGAGGGCAATTATCTAATATCGAGCAAAGTACTAAATGTTCATACTTTTTGGCCGGCAAACTTACTTCTAGAAATATATCCTTCATCAGAGACTCTGGACTCCGGGAACCAAACTGAGGGTTATAGAAGGGAGGGGGTGGGGTATGGGGTAACCGGGTGATGGGTATTAAGGAGGGCACATGATGGGATGAGCGCTGGGTATTATACGCAACTAATGAGTCGTTGAACACTACATCAAAAACTAATGATGTACTGTATGTTGGCTAATTGAACATAATTTAAAAAATATAAAAAAATAAATTAATTAAAAAAAAAAAGAACTATATCCTTCAGAAGGACTTGCCACACACCCCTGTACTGTGCCTCAACTTCCTTATTTCTAAACCAGGCATGATAGTACATACCTCAGTGGGTTGCTGTGACGATTAAATTAGTACGCAGACACACAATGCCTGGTACTCAAGTATATAAGCGCTAATTCTTGCCTTTGTCTTAGTACATTGGCACTGTTCACTTGACCTTTTCCCAAAAGACCAATAAACCTCCAAATATCTAACTCCTACCAAATAACACACGCCTCGGGGAAATGAGACTGGATTAGTGTTTGTCTCAGTGTGGCCCCTGGGAGCTTATTAAATGCAGATTTCTGGGCCCACCCTAAACCGAAGAGAATGACTACCGCGGAAGCACCGCGACTCTGTACCGGGATCAAATTTCCCAAGTGTTTCTTACTTGGCAGAAAGCCGAAGTCCGCCGGCCAGAAGGCGTCGTTCTTCCGCAGCACTTCAGCCTCCGGCTCCCGGAAGAGCACCTCTGTCCGCCAGAGATGCTGCACTTGCCTCCTCTCTTCCGCTTCCGGTGTCTCCCTGCAGCCATGGCCGCCGCCGCCGCCGCCGCCGCTGGCGGTCCTGGGGCGCCTCTGTCCCCGGACGAATTGCTTCCGAAAGGCGATTCCGAGAAGACTGAGGAGGAGCTGGAGGAGGAAGACGACGAGGAGGTACTGGGGCCCTGCGGTGTGGGGCGGGGTGCGAAGTTACGGGCGGGGAGCGACCGGCTCGGGGGTGTGAGCTCCGCGTGCTGCGGGATTCGGACGAAGGCGCGTCGCGGAGCCCGGAGAGGTCGGGGGGAGGTGTCTTGTCCGGGAGGCGGGGTTAGGGCCCCCACTGGGCCGCGGCAGGGTGCCCTAGCCCCAGGGGGTGGTTGCCGTTGCTTCGGTCAAGACCCGCGCCGCCTCCACCACAGCTAGATGAGACCCTGTCGGAGAGACTGTGGGGTCTGACGGAGATGTTCCCAGAGAGGGTCCGGTCCGCGGCTGGAGCGACTTTTGATCTCTCCCTCTTTGTGGCTCAGAAAATGTACAGGTAAGGGACGAGGGCAAAGACATTGGGGCGTGCCTGGGGTGACTGAAGTGCCGCGAATGAGCATGGGATTTGGAAGTAGCAGACGGGGGTTGGCCCGCCACCTAGACCACTGAGTGACCTTGGGCTGGTGGGTACCTTAACCTTTCTTGGTCTCCATTTCTTTTCCCTAAAGTGGCAGTTCTTACGGGTCGGGCTTGTTGGGAGGATCGTTTCACATTATGTGAGGTCATTAATGTGCTGTATAAGTAGCTTTGTAAGAACTCAGGAGGATGTTGGAACTGCTGGCACGAGATAAACGGCCGGCAGAACTGCTCGTCCTGTTTCTGGTAGGAGTATGGTGCAAGGGTTGGGTAGAAACACGCCTGTCAAAAACATGGGCGCGTGAGAGGTTTGGTTACTGGTTCCTTGGTCAAGCGGGCCCGTTTTTGTGTCTGGCTTTCATGCTCCCACTCCCTCTGCAGGTTTTCCAGGGCAGCCTTGTGGATTGGGACCACTTCCTTCATGATCCTGGTTCTTCCTGTTGTCTTTGAGACTGAGAAGTTGCAAATGGAGCAGCAACAGCAACTGCAGCAGCGGCAGGTGAGCCCAGCCCCTGGGCCTGTTGCCAGTGGTGGAGAGGCAGGTTGTTGATTGCCCAGCACCTGCAGAGACCAGCAGTTACTTGTGGGTAGAGATTGGGCTCCAGCCCATGCTTTTTTAGGTACCTGACTGTGCTCAGCAGTTTGTGTAGACCTTGTCGGCCCAGTCAGTTAAGTGGAAATGTGATCCCTAGGCTTGTGTGATGCCTTATACCCCTCCTTTTCTTTTCCAGATACTTCTAGGGCCTAACACAGGGCTCTCAGGAGGAATACCAGGGGCTCTACCTTCACTTCCTGGAAAGATCTAGATTGCTACTGCTATATGACTTGTCTCGGTGGGACAAGTTTGAAAATTCAATAGTGTTTGAACTGCTGATTATTTGGATTTTTTTTTTTTTTTTAAACTTTGGCACATTGATCTATCTAAACCTGGTGGGGAGAATTCTCCCCAGTGTCTCACGGAGACTCCCAACTTGCAACCGTGCCCTCCACGCTGTCCCATTTCTTCTCTTCTCACTCTGATACGAGTTCAGGAATGCAGACGGTTACTCCAGCTCTGGCCATCCCACCCCTTTCACTAAGTCACTCATGACCGGAAGATCTCACTATCCCATTGTGGCATAGGAACTGATGCCACTGGGAAGGATGTACCCCTGACCATTTTTGTTTTTAAGCATGGAGATGTTGGGAAGGGACATGCACACGATATGAAATACACAATGCATTACAACCGTAGTGTAACACAGCCACTGTGAATTCCTATGTTGGAAAGGAGGGAGGGCCGGGCAGCAGTTTCAACCATAGGATGGACAGAGTAGGAGTTCATTTCCTCTGCCCATTTTGGCTATGAGAGACCTGTGTGTCTGTCTAAAAAAAAAAAAAAGTAAGTGCTCACTTTTTGTATTTAAATATTAAAAACGATTCCAATGGAAAGTGTCATCTATGTACTTGTGATACACAACTCGAAATCACTTTAGACTGCCCCTCACATTTCCTCTCAGCTCAGCTAGCCACCGCCATTTAACAGTTTGACCCCTCAGGTCCAAGTTAGTTAAACTTCCCAAAGTGAAAAAGATGTTTATTTCTGGCCAAGAACCTCTTAATAGTAATCTTTGCCCTGAATTCAGGCAATCATTTTCAGATCCACCAACAAAGAAAGGACTAGGTCTGTGTACTTGCACAATCTACAGTGACATAAAGGATTTACAGGGAATAATATAATACTGATTTCTGGTCTAGGGAGGGATGGGTGGCAAATAGAACTTTTTTGGTTTGTTCTTTTAAAACTAATTGCTGAGATGAGCTGATTATGAATCCAACTGTAGCCTTGTCTTTGAACTTTGCAGTTTTTCCATTTAACAAATTTTTATTAGCACTGTGCTATTAACAGTACTGAGCCTTTTATGTGTACCATATTTATCAGAATAATACTATACAGTTTAGGGTGTAGTACTATTCCGATTTTACAGAGGAGGAAGCAGCCACAGAAAGGTTAAGTCATCTACCAGACTGCATAGGAAATGCTGGATCCAGTACGGCCTCTGCTATGTGATCTTGACCTTGTTAACCAGAGAAAAACACTGGTCACCTGTCAGGGCTGGTAAAGAAAACCTGTACTGAAGATTAGCATTCCTCAGACTGTTGAGCCTAGTTTTTGTAAACTGAAAAATGTCTCAGGCTTTTGAACCAAATCCTACTTAGTGAATATCTTGTCTGGATTTTTGAGGCTTGAGAGGTTTGACCAAAGCACAAAATAGGTCTAAAAAATGGATTAGAATGGTAGTTTTTCTTCTAAAGCACTGTTAGACTAAAGTTTACTTTTTTCCCCCTCCACATACGTAATTACAGAATTCAGGCAGACAGATGAGATTTATGTATGGAGTTTTCCATTTTTAATATTTGGTTAAACAAAATACATCTTTTGTAAACAAACCCAGCACAAGGCCAACAACAAAAAAAAGGAATAAAAGCAAGAAAAACAAAAAGCCTAGGGTTGCCCCTTATTGGGCATCAGGGTCAGGCCTGCCCCCTTCCTTAAAGGAAGTGGGGCTTTTTGCCCTTGGGCATCAGCATGGGTCCCTGTTCCTAAGCACCAAAATTGGATATGAACAGAGAAACCAGCCCTGAAATGTTTAAGCGTCTTTGCATATCCCATTGGCTCATGGACTCCAAGTGCACGGGGACTCCTCTGAAGTGCCATTTGCACAGGCCCAAGCACACTGGTGGAGAGGAGTTCCCTGTCCTCCCAGGAGATGGCTTACTATCACTGACAGTGCCCATGGACCCAAGGTCCTGCTTGTGACAATCAGGTTGGCTGTAACTTCTGGCTGGTGGTGGTTGGAATGTCATTGTGCAGGGGTAAAGAGCTCCCTGTGGTGCCAAGCAGGTCTGGTGTGGAAAATGGTGCAGAAGAGACTGCAGCCAGTTGCTGAGAGGGTGTGATGCAGTAGCCGCTTGGTGGCCTGTTACTCAGCATAAAAAACGGCCTTGTTGGATTGAAGATACATGTGCAGAAAAAGTGCTGGTGTAAACATGCACTCCAGTCACAGTGGGGAGAAAGCCTCAGCTTCATCCTGTTAAGCTTGCTCAGGCTTGACATGCAAGCCCCAGGCTGGCTTTGCTGCTGGAGAGACGTCTGGCCAGTGGGGCAGCTCTCAGACCCGCCAAGACCACCGAAGTGTAAGGGGTAGACAGGCTGTCTATCCACCTGTCTTGAGGCAACCACAACCACTTTGGTGACAGTGTGGTAGGATACTTCCCTTCCTTCTCTTGTTTTCCAAAGTTACAGGAGAAAAGTGGCCTACAACTATTTAAAGAGGTAGGGGGTAGATCAATTCTCGTTGATTTGTAAAGGAAACTAAAGATGACAAATCCAGGTCCTATAACATAATGCACGTAAACACCCTACTTGAGGGTTCTGATTCTTGTCACTATAGTGACTCCGAGCCTAGGACTTCTACCAATTCTAGCTGCTCTTACTCTCTGAGTAGCTTATCTTCACAATACTTTTCCTCACTCAACTGTTTCTCAAACTAGTGGAATTTGATATCGAAAGCAGACTTGTTTCCTGATTTTGCCGGAGTGTGTCAACTGGAAAAACTGCCCTCTGGCCTGTCTTGTGCCCCAGAGCCTCTCAAATCAATGTAGTGAAGCGGCAGGGACAATGATGGAGTGAGGCCGACAGGCCATCCGTGCCTGCCCCAGTCTGCCTTCTGCCATGTCCTCTTAGGTATCTAGCTCACCCTGGCACACTAGAATATTGCAGGAGTCAACCACCCGGCATGGAATACTAGAGAATGTTTCATTAGAAAACTCCAAGGATGGCCATAAACCACCCTCAAAATGGGGGTAATGGGTGGCATTAAGGGTTGGAGATGGCATGCTGTACCACTGCTGGGGTTTGGGAGATGGTTTCCTGAGAGGCCCTTATGCTCTGGGTCCGTCAAGCCAGTCACATGGGCTGTGCATGTCTTCAGACCCACTGGTTGCCAGGAAAGGGGAAGTGGAGGCAGCATCTCCAGGTGAGTCACAGCAGCAGTGTCCTCCAGCAGAGCCTCTGTCAAGTCCTCGTCGTAGGCATGGGGAAAGTAAGATCGGACCCACCTTTCTTCCTCCTCTCTCAAAGAAAACAAGGGTCTTCCACAGCTCCGCCCTAAGCACACAGAGCTCCTACCTTCCTGTCCCAGGAATGAGTAACGCTGGGTGGTGGTTCTTGTAACCGTCCACACATCTGTCCTATTGCACTGTCAAATCGGAGGGGAAACCCAATGAGATGTTTGGGGGAGTGGCAAGGGCAGACCCGCTGGATAGGCCACAACACATGACAGAGGACTTGGGGGGCAGAGGGGAGGGAAGGTTGGGTAGAACTGCATTACATGTCAGCCCTCCAACTCTGACGGGCCTCCACCTCTTCTGGCACCACCAGCAGGAGTTCACAGTTCTTTCCTCGCAAGTGATGTTTGAGAAATTTCCTATGGGAACAAAGGGTAGATGAGAGAAAATGAAATGCTGGTAAAACTGCAAACTCCAGCCTCGGGGCCGCATGCTCCCCAGTGACCTCATCATTTACGCCCTTGGCAGTCCTAAAGACACTCTCGGAAGGATCTGTTCTTGTAGGGTTCCACATCTGGCAACCCCTTCAACCTGTCCAGCTCATTGCCAACCTGAATTTTCATTCATCCTCATACAACTGCCAACAGCATCTAGTTCTGCGAGGAACAGAGCCAGCCCAAAGTACTCAAGTAAGGGCCTTGTCACTGTCAAAAAAAAAAAAGTTTCTTCTTTGGTCTCAGGGAAACTTAGCCCTTTCTGGTCTAAATGTCTGTCTTCGTTCTTCTGAACTGGCAGCTGTACCATCCCATTTGTCTAAGCATAGAGAATGTTATGATGCTGGTCCTACCAGACCAGGCAGCCAGCATTCTGGCTGCTGGAACTTCTCTACCAAAGGGACTTCACATCCTCAGGGGCCATCAAAGATACAGGTCTTTCAAGTCTGAGACCATGATTCTAAGCAGGGCGGGGAGAGGATCCAAGTCGCTAGGGATTTCATCTCCTTCGTCAAATAACCAAAGATGGGCTCAACTTCCCTAACGCACCAAAGGAAGGAGCCCGGCCCATTCACAACAGGTACCTGAGCTCGCTCTCGCCTCCAATCCACTCGGGCATCTTCAGTTTGGAGTCGAGGTTGTAGTAGGCACCTCCCACCTCTCGAACACAGATCCAGTGCTGCCTTTTGAGAGGCAACTTCAGTGGACCCCAGCACAGGCTGGAGGGCAGATTCATGATGAAGCCCATGACGTTCGTGAGAGCAATGGCACTGACATCCCTGCAGAAGAGAAAAGGCGTCAACTCCCCAAGGTTCTCAGCGGGAACACCTCCTGGGCCCGGGCCCAGGTACCTGTTCTCATCAAGTCAAGATTACCTGCGCTTGTCCCACCAGACAGCTTCATAGCCTTTGGTTTGAAGTGCCGCCATAATGACGTTCACATCGTAGTTCCCATT